TTGTTTAGTTATGGTAAACTTTGTCAAACAAAATTGCGTTTATTTGCCAGAGCAATGTAGGGGAACTTAAATACCCACATAAACACACACACACACACACACACACACGCTTGCATGTATATATGCACACACATATAAATAAATTACGTATATATTTGGTTTTCTAATAACTTAATAGTCATAACACTTATATTAAAGATTTATTTCATGATAAAGATAGTACTTTTGAAAATGACGTAGCATTGAAAGATTTTCCAATAGTGCTAATGGGTATACTGTGATTTCTACGTATCTAACCTCTGTGTAGTCAGTAATGTTTATTTGTGAGGTTGGGTCTGGGGTGCTGTCGCTGGCTGTTGACTGTAATGTCAAGCTACCCAACTCCATAAAACAGCAGAATCCAACTCCTTGTTGTCATTATCACAGTTCTTTAACAAACGGAGCAGGCTTGCCTTGAATAAATATAAATCAAGCCAACACATATTTAAATGCCTTTTATGGCCATAGGCTCTTTCCAACTTCCAAAATCAACTGAGAGCATTTAAACAGTAACACAATAGAAAGATAGACTTAATAAAGAAGATTCCTGTGTGATAATATTTAGGTAGCTGTGATGAACTGTGAAACTTTCAAGGACAGCTATAAAGTAACTCAGTAGGTCACGCACTAGGGTTAAAGTTGACTCTGAAATTTGTTTCACTGCTTTTTAATAAATAAATAGTTGGAAGATTTGGCAAAAGGAAGAAACAATCATTCTTGTCCTTGTTCTCTCAGGAAAGTGTCCCCTGTTAACAAGTTATTTGAATGTTTACTTTGCCTTGACTGCTTTCCAGTGGTGTGTCAGTTCTTACCCTTGAACCAAGTGAGAATTCAAATAAACCAAAAAAGTTTTCACACAGCTGGACTCCTCTGCCGATGAGTGGTGCCAACAGGCCCTCTCCCACTTTTTAAAATAGGTCAGCAAGAAAAAACTGGAAAAGCAGATTCATAACCTGATACCCATGAGCTAGAGAAACTTGAGTTTGGACCTTTTAGATTTTGGAGTACCTGGCATAGAGAAAGTGAGCAGATTCTGGAGGATACTATTTGATTTATTAAAAACTATACTTAAATTGCCTTCCTTTGTATTACTACCTAACTTTATTAATGGTTAGTATTAAACTTTCTTTGCATAAATGAAAATGCATGTAAAAGTCTCATTTATAAATGTCATTAATGTAGCACTGTCATTAGATTTTTTTGTATTCAGTAGTCATAGGTCCAGTGTCTAGCTCTGGCTAAGCAGGAACATGGGGCAGGATTTGCAGATATGCCCTCGTATGCCTAGTCTTGCATAGCGCCTGGCATATAGTAGGCACTTACTATATTTTTTGTTGATTTTTAAAATTATATATATGAATGAATAAATGAGTGAAGGAATAAACAATATAGCTAGAATATACTAAATTCAGATGAGATGGCAGTTCTTATTAAACACTATTCCTTAAGATACTTCTTAGAATTGCATTATATTAATATAATCCTTTCATTTCAAGAAACATTTTTGAAATACCTACTCTCTGCTATGCAAAGCTAAATATGATGTCATTCTTGCCTTCAAAGAGGTCATAGCTGTGTCACCAGATAAGTTATATAAGAGAGTATTGAGTGCAGTGGTTACACATGTCCAAGGTGTAGAGGTAGCACAGAAGAGAAAGAATTGGCCATATCTGGAGAATGGCATGGACATTTTTGATTTTACTAGTTTTATTTATTTATCTTTTATATTGTTCATCTCTCCTACTTGAATATCTGGTATACATTTTTGTCTGTGTAACTTTTTTTTTTTTTTTTTTTTTGAGATGGAGTTTCACTCATGTTACCCAGGCTGGAGTGCAATGGCGCGATCTCGGCTCACTGCAACCTCCGCCTCCTGGGTTCAGGCAATTCTCCTGCCTCAGCCTCCTAAGTAGCTGGGATTACAGGCACGCGCCACCATGCCCAGCTAATTTTTTGTATTTTTAGTAGAGATGGGGTTTCACCATGTTGACCAGGATGGCCTCTATCTCTTGACCTCGTGATCCACCCGCCTCGGCCTCCCAAAGTGCTGGGATTACAGGCTTGAGCCACCGCGCCCGGCCCTGTGTTACGTATTTTTATATATACATTTTAAACTGCTCAATCCCCACTTCCTAGGATAGCCTTAGCATATGATAAGCATTCAGTAAGTGTTTGTTGCATGACTGATTTTTGATAGAAATAGCAAACTACGTCCAAAAAGTATGAACTGATTTTGTTTCCACCAGCAATATAGGATAATGATTTTTACCCACATTCTTGCCAGTGCTGGGTTTCGTGAAACTTTTTTAGTTTTAGCAAATGTGCTATACTATCTCTATAGTAAAACACAAACACACGCCACAAACAAACCATTCCTTGACTACCATTTGTCTTCAGCAATTCTCCCTGTTTTTTTTGCTGCCCTCGTATAGCAAAACCCTGGAAGGAAGTGTCTGCCTGCTTTCCGTTTCCTCTCTTCCCATTCTGTCCTGAACCCAACCAACATCATGCTTTTTTCTTTTCTCCACTGAAACCACTCTTGTCAGTATCACCAGTGACCTTCAGTAGGCCTTTCTGATGGTGTCTCATCTTACTCTGCTTCTCATCGATGTTTCTTCTTCCAGAAATATTTCTTTTTAAAATTTTTTTAAATTTCTTTTTATTTTTTTTTAAGACAGAGCCTGGCTCTTTTGCCCAGCCTGGAGTGCAGTGGCACAGCCTGGGTCATTGCAACCTCTACCTTCTGGGTTCAGGCGATTCCCCTACCTCAGCCTCCCAAGTAGCTGGGATTACAGGTGCGTGCCCCCACATCCAGCTAATTTTTTTTTTTTTTTTTTTTTTTTTTTTTTAGTAGAAACAGGATTTCATCATGTTGACCAGGCTGGTTTTGAACTCCTGACCTCAAGTGATCTGCCTGCCTCAGCTTCCCAAAGTGCTGGGCTTCCAGATGTGAGCCACCGTGCCCAGCCTAGAAATATTTCTCATGTTCTCCCTGGACAAATAGATTTCTTTCTATTTCATTGACTACCTCTGCTGAGTATCCTTGGCTACTTCCAGTCTCTAAAGGTTGGAGTATTCCAAAGCTCTTCTGTTCTATCTCTTCTCTTCTCTTCTCCTTTCCTCAGTCCTCTAAACGTATTTTCCTTAGAGAGAGATCATCTGGTGCCAAGGCATTCATACGTTTAACGTCTATATTTCCATCTCTGACGTCTTCACACAGCCCCACACTCATACATGCCACTGTTGACAGTAGTACTTGGATGTCTAATAGATAGCTCAAACTTAGCTTGGCCAAAACAGAACCAGTGATGAACCCTTTCTTCTGCCTCTCCTTCTCTAGTCTTCCCTATTTCAGTAAACAGGGCTATTATTTATTTTATTTTTTTGTCATCAAAACCCAAGAGTTATCCTTCACATATCTCTATCCCACAGTATATCCAAGCCTTTGGCACATCCTATTGGGTTTACCTTTATAATATATTCTGAATCCAAATACTTTTTACCACCTCCGCGGTTGACTCACTGCTCTAACCACTGTGTCCTCATCTGTCTCCAGGGTGATTACAGTATGTCCTGCTTGATCTCCCTTTTCCACTTTAGTCTACTCTTCACCAGCCAATGATTTTTTTTTTTTTTGGGAGACAGAGGCTTGCTCTGTCTCCCAGGCTGGAGTGCTGTGGTATGATCTTGGCTCACTGCAACCTCTACCTCCCAGGTTCAAGAGACTCTACTGCCTCAGCCTCCCAAGTAGTTGAGATTATAGGCCTGTGCCACCACACCTGTCTAATTTTTTGTATTTTTAGTAGAGATGGGGTTCCACTGTGTTAGCCAGGATGATCTTGATCTCCTGACCTTGTGATCCGCCCACGTTGGCCTCCCAAAGTGCTGGGATTACAGGCATGAGCCACAGTGTCTGGCCAAGTGATCTTTTAAAACGTAAATAAAATTACATCATTCTCCTTCTCTATGTTCTCTAAGGGTTTGCTATTGCCTTTGGAATAAACCCCACAGTCTTTACTATGGCCTTCAAAGCTGGATGTGATCTGGCCCAGCCTTCCTCTCAGGCTTCATCCATTACTGTCCTTTTCTTGGCTTATCTCTCTCACAATAGTGACAATCCCAATCCCAACACAGGCCTGACATTGATATTCTTCGTGCTTGACCAATCCATGAGCCAGGAGTCCTCCATCTGAAGAAAAGGGACGAAAACCAGTAGGACCTATCTCACAAGGTTGTTGTGAAGATTAAAGTCATATATTAAAGCACTAAGATGGTGTCTGGCACATAGTAAATAAATATTACATACGTGTTAGCCATTATTTCGTTGTTTTCCTTATAGTTGCTATTTTGGGGGATATGGAGGAGGAATACATGTTGGTTTCGTTGAGTTTTATATGTTTGTGAGATGTGTAAATAGAAATGCACTATAGGCAGCTGAATGTATCCATTTGGAGTGATTCATTCTGTGTAGTAAGAGGTATCCTAGTACAGCAGTGCTCCACTTACGACCACAATTGGTTCCGACGGACCGGCCGTAACACGATTTGGCCGTAAGTTGAGTAGGCTATGTGCACGCGGAGATGGTAGTGCTGCCGGAAGCTGGTCCGCACTGTCGTATGCCCAGCTGGGCAACGTTTGCACTGCCAGACACAGAGCAGTCGTGGCTAGCGATTGTGGTCGTAAAGTCGAATGGTCGTAAGTTGCATAGGTCGTAAGTCGCATAGGTCGTAAGTCGATCAATACCTGTACCTTGGAAGAATGAGCAAAACTTCTAGCTCTAGTGTCTAGAGATCAGCTTGTGAATTGGAAAGACCTGGATCTTTTAGTGCCTAGTATTTGACATACTCTACACAGAGCTTTCAAAATAGATGGCTGCTGTCATGCTCATAGCTCCAGCTGCTCAGATGAAAGATTTTAATGGTTTACATTTTTTTTCATTTTTCTTTTTTAATGTTTTTTAGTGAACCACAGCCTGGGTTTGCTGTGGAAGCCTGTCCTGCCTGCTTCTGTCATCTGGCGCTATGCATCCGGATCTTGGACCCTTATGTACACTGCTGTATGCTACACTTACAGTTCTGTGCTCTTCTGTGAGTTCAGGTAAGAGTAGAATTGCGGGGTGGGGTGGTTTGGCCTTTACTTGTCTTACTTCTATAAAAAATAAATTCGTACTTCAATGCTTGGTGGTAATGGTATCTAAAGATGTTTCTAAGATTGGTTTGACCAACAACATGATTTAAAAACCTGATAAATAAAGCAATTTAAGGATCTCTTAGTAGTGCTTTGGGCATTCGCATTTCTTCCTGTCCCTTGTAATTCGTTCCTTTTGTTTTCAAAAAAATGCATATTTTCCAATCATACTTTTTTCAATAAGGAGATATATTACTATCTGAATTTGGAAAGAGCAGAAATAAAATACTGACTACATGTACCAAAGAGAAGTTTTAGAATCAGCACGATACTATGTTCAACTGGGAGTGAGAGAACTTGGTTCAATTCCCAGGTCTGCTGCTTTCTCATATGACCTTGCCTAATTTCTTGTCTACCTTTTTGGGTTACTGAAAAGTATAAATGTGTTTGTTGTTAAATGTGTATGTAAGCCCCATGCCTAATAATGGCTCATATGCATTTCTTTTTATTTGAGACTTATGTAAAGACGAATATATAAGTATATACAAATATAGTGATGTTTATTCATTGAGTACTATTTATTTTTAATATCTGCTAAAAATACTGTATAGCTAGCTGTATTAGATTTGGTAAGGAAAAAATTGATTTTGTGGTTTTATTTCTGTTTTGCTAAACAACCAACCCAGATTCAGCCAATAAATATACTTCCTCTAATCTTCATCTCTGATTAAATATTCCATAGAAGTAGATTCAGCAATTTATTGATTTTTTTCTTTTAAGTATTTTTATTCCTCCAAATTAACAAATATTTCTTCCCCCTTCCCACTTTTGGGTTGGAACAGAAGGATCTGTATGGATACTTTAGTGCAAGAAGACCCCTGCCTTCCCAAGTTCTGGGAGTAATAGAAATAACATACAAAACCATTTCAAATGCCAGATAAAAATACTAAGCCTTATATTTAAGAAAGGATAGCCTTTGTATTTCAGTTATGGCTTCTTAACTTTCTATTTTTGTTTTTTTAAAACTTAAACGTTATTTTATATTGAAGGGAAGTAGTAAGGAAGTATCGTAGTCTTAATTTGTAGAATAACTTGCTCTCGTAAATTGAATCCTGTTGGTAAAATAGGGGAGAATTCTTGTTATTTGGAAAGTCATCTTCACTTTTTCAGGTTCTTAACTTCCAATTCTTCCAAGTCACTTTATTGAAAGAGTAGTTTACTATTTCCTTCTTTCTTTCTTTTTTTTTTTTTGAGACAGGGTCTCCCTCTGTCACCCAGGTTGTAGTGCAGTGGTGAAGTCATGGCTCACTGCAGCCTCCACCTCCTTGGCTCAAGCAGTCCTTCCACCCCAGTTTCTGGAGTAGTTAGAGCTGCAGGCATACACCACCACGTTGGCTAATTTTTGTATTTTTTGTAGAGAAGGGTTTTGCCATGTTGCCCAGGTTGGTCTTGAACTCCTGAGCTCGAGGATTCACCCGCTTTGGCCTCCCAAAGTGCTGGGATTATAGGCAGGAGCCCCGGGACCCAGCCTGCACTTTGTTACTTCTTATTAATAGGATTGGTATTGTATCTGATTATATCATCAGCATTCTTGTCTTTTGTACCCTAATTGTTAAGTCCTAGGCCAACATGTTGCCCTTTTTCACTTCCAATAAATAGGCTTATAAGAATTTTGCAGGAACTTTGCAACCATCTCAAGAACCATAAAGTATATAAAATAAGAGATTGCCTTTAGTTATAAAGATTCAGATGAAGTGTGTTTAATGTCACCTTCTCTCTCTCTCCTCTTATCTCCCCTGCTTTCTTTGCATATGGGGAATATTCCCTTCTAGACCTGGCACCTTATTTTACTTCTGAGCCACTCTCTACCGTCCAGAAACTTGGTGGACCTGTGGTACTACATTGTTCTGCTAAACCTGTGACCACTCATATCTCATGGTTGCATAATGGAAAAAAATTGGATGGAAACGTGGAACATGTTAAGATTCATCAGGGGACTTTGACAATTCTTTCTCTTAACTCCTCCCTTTTGGGTTACTACCAGTGCCTGGCCAACAATAGCATCGGTGCCGTTGTGAGTGGCTCAGCAACAGTATCTGCGGCAGGTGAGTTTAATTGTGTCACTGTTATGTGTGGGTTTTCTTGAAATTACTGTTAGTGCTTGCGTTTCTGAAGAAGGGAAAGGCTTTGGTGTAAGGCACATGGGAGTTCCTATCTCAGCCTTGACTCTTGCTGTGAGGATAACTTGGGGAAGTGCACTTAGACCTCTGCAAGCATAGCCTAATGTAATCGGCAACAGTGATATGGAAATGACTTTTTAAAGTGACACAGTTAGGACAGTTTTTTGTTTTTGTTTTTGTTTTTTTTATAATCTCTGCAGCTTTTCCAGGGAAGGACGCTTTTCTAATATGAATTCTGAACTATTTCTTTGTGAGTACTTGGAAGTCCATAATATCAATAATAACAAAAGCCATTGTCTACTCTGGCACTTAGTTATTTCCTGGAGTCCTTTGTCTTTCTTTTTACATCTAATTGTTTTATTTGCCTTGATTACTGAGTGATTTTAATTTATTTAATTGAAACGATGGTTAAAAAGCAGGAAAAAAGTAACTGTAAAGCAAGGAATGTTGAGTATTGAACTTACAGAAAATCTGGAATGCATGGTTTTTCTTAGTAAGTTTGAGCCATCTGCCTTTCAAACGGTGATGGCTTCCAGTAATGGAAAACGTCTTTGTAAGGGCACCCCTATTTACAGAACAAATCTGGATTCCCCAGGAGTAGTAAGTTTGTCATAACTGAGAAGAGTAAATGTTTTTGTAGAGCTGTGACCCATGGACAGCTTGTAAGACACACAGTGGAAGGCTGAATTCCTTGTGGCAGGCTGCTGAGTGCTTTGAGCACTGGAGATCATAAAGAGTTCTTCCCTGCAGGCTCCATCTGTAGTGAACTAAAACAGAGGAGTTGAGACCGAGTTAGTAGATTCATATAATCTAAATGATATCCTGCCTTATTTTTTTGATGTCCTAGGTTCATTCCAGAAATCATTTTATTGCAGTGTGAATAGCTACAAACAGATTAAAGATCGATAGGGAAAGTAAGTTTTGATGAGGGACTGGGTTGAAAAAGACTGATCTTGACCGAATGGGAATAATTACGTTTTATAGTTCTAGATGTCTTAGGAGTAGTTTGTATTTATTCTAGTTCCCTAGAAGCATTGACCTATGAAAAAGGGTTGCATGACTTAGGTCTTATCCTTCAACCATGCACCTCTGCCCCGGCCACTTCTTTTTTTTTTTTTTTTTGGTGACAAGGTCTTACTCTGTTACCCAGGCTGGAATGCAGTGGTGCAATCTTGACTCATTGCAGCTTCAGCCTTCCGGGCTCAAGCAATCCTTCCACCTCAGCCTCCTGAGTAGCTTGCCCCAACTGCTTTCTGAGATGAAAAGATCATGCAGCCCTCTGGACTGGAGTCAGCTGCCACAAAAGACCATGCTGCAGATATTGTTTCTAATTTTTAAACTTCCTTTGGGAAAAAAATTCAAATTTGCATTTATTTATTTGTTTTCTTATTTATTTCAGTTCTTGGTGATTTTGGTTCATCCACAAAGCATGTTATTACAGCAGAAGAAAAAAGTGCTGGTTTCATTGGCTGCAGGGTACCAGAGAGTAACCCCAAAGCTGAGGTGCGCTATAAAATCCGGGGAAAATGGCTGAAACATTCCACAGGTGAGAGCTTTTGTGAAAAGCCTGGGGCACACACACAACAAATGTTCATTAAATAACCTGCTCCTAAGCTCCATATGCTGGGGATGAACTGTGGATACCAGAAGGCGTGAGTGGAGAGGACTAAAATAAAAGGTTACAATATACAAATAATTACGGTTACAATATACAAATAATTACGGCCCCGTACCCTGAGGGCTCACTCGCTCAGCTCCTGGACCCCCATCAGATTTCATTTCCTTGGAGAAGACCGTCCTCGTGGTTCCGTCTAAAATGATATACCTGGTGCTCTCTGTCCCCTTTATTTAGTTTTGCTTTTCTTCATAGAATTGATCACACCTGATAAGGTGTTATTCATGTTTTTGTTAGTTTATTATTGTATGTCTTTTTCTCTGACCTCCCCATACCCCGGCTACATGTGTGCAGGGCTTTTTATCTGCTCTCTTCCTTGCTGTAGCACTTGTTCCTGGCCATTGTTGGCAGAAAGTAGCCTTTTAATATGTATTTGTGGGGAAAAGAAATGAATGACTAGGCAGTGCAGGAACACTGTGTGACCAGTGCTATAGGTAGAGGTTTGCCAAAGTCGAAGTCTGTTTCACGTGCTTTGAGATTCACCGTCGTTAAAATGCTTCTGCTGGGTTTGATTTGCTATGCTAGTTGTATTGACTTTTTTTTTTTCTACTCTGCCTTGACTTTCCCTTTCCTTCATTTAATAAATTTTCCGTGATTGCCACTTTGCTGCTAATCTCATGTCTAAACTTAGCTGCTGGATCATGCCTATAATCCCAGCACTTTGGGAGGCTGAGGCAGGAAGGTCACTTGAAGCCAGGTGTTCAAGACTAGCCTGGACAATATAGTGAGACCCCATCTCTACAAAATATTTAAAAATTAACCGGGTGTGGTGGCATGCACCTGTAGTCTCAGCTACTGGGGAGGCTTAGGTGGATCGCTTGAGTCTAGGAGTTACAGGCTGTAGCAAGCCATACCTATGCCACTGTACTCCAGTGTGGGTGACAGAGTGAGACCCCATCTCTAAAATAAAATAAAATAAGATGGAATAAAGCATAACGATCAAACTTTGTGAGTTTTAGTTGTGCTGTGGTGCCCTTCATAAAGGGAGAGGCCTAACTGCACTCCCTTCCTTCCTCAGAGAATTACTTAATCCTTCCATCAGGAAATCTTCAGATTTTGAATGTATCCTTAGAGGACAAGGGATCATACAAATGTGCAGCTTATAATCCTGTCACACATGAATTAAAAGTTGAACCTATTGGCCGAAAGCTCCTTGTGAGTCGTAAGTATTTGGGACAATAATGGTAACTGGAAGAGGAAGAGTCCTCATAAAAAGTTGGGCAATGATAGTTCATTTTTTTTTTTCAAATCCTGTTTGTTTATCATAAAAAGTCTTACCAAAAAAGTAAATACAGTCCGGGCGTGGTGGCTCATGTCTGTAATCTCAGCACTTTGGAAGGCTGAGGTGGGTGGATCACCTGAGGTCAGGAGTTTGAGACCCAGCCTGACCAACATGGCAAAACCTCGTCTCTACTAAAAATACAAAAATTAGCCGGACATGGTGATGCGCACCTGTAATCCAAGCTACTCAGGAGGCTGAGGCAGGAGAATTACTTGAACGTGGGAGGTGGAGGTTGCAGTGAGCTGAGATCACACCACTGCACTCCAGCCTGGGTGACAGAGTGAGACTCTGTCTCAAAAAAAAAAAAAAAGTAGATACATTAATGCCTTATAGAAGAGTGTTGTACATGCTTTAAAAATGTAACTTACAGAGGGGAATTTTGAATTTTAGCCAAGGTGACAGAGTGAATACATGTGGAGAATGTTGCCCTTTGCTCAAACAAGAAGAAATAAAGGAGATACAACTTTATAGTAGTGGTAATTAAATTGGTGTCTGTGAATTTTGGGAAAAAAAGAGATATGTCTGTTCTCTTTCTTTCAGATATAATGAAAATCACCGTTGATTTTTAGGTTATGATGGTTGGGTTGAGGTAGCACCAATAGTCAGGGTACGATAAAGATATGGCTTCTGAACGTGTTGGGCATTCTGCATTTTCAAACTCCCAGTTCAGAATTAGCCCTAAAGGACCACAAAACATTTTAATCCTCAACTGAAAAGGATTTAACTGCCAGATAGGACCTTGTAGTATTAAGAATTCATGGGAACATGGTGGTGCCCTCAGCTTTGCTAAGCAAGGCATTAGAAGTGAATACTTACTAATCATCTCTCATCTCCTTTCCTTTTCCAGGTCCTTCTTCAGATGATTTTCACATTCTTCACCCCACCCATTCACAGGCATTAGCTGTTCTTTCTCGTAGCCCCGTAACCTTGGAGTGTGTGGTGAGTGGGGTCCCGGCTCCTCAAGTGTATTGGCTAAAGGACGGGCAGGACATTGCACCAGGAACCAACTGGAGAAGGCTGTATTCTCATCTTGCCACAGATAGCATTGACCCAGAGGACTCCGGAAACTATTCCTGCATGGTGGAAAACAAGTCCGGAGATGTAAAATATGTGACTTACATGGTTAATGTACTTGGTAAGCAGTTAGTTTTTAATTTTTTCCAAATGAAGCCATTTTTCTGGTCTCACTGAATGTGATGGAAAGATCTATTTGTGAAATTGAAATAGGGAATATCTAGAAATATCTATACCCTAGCCAGAACAAGTTTCATTTTTATAATGGACTGCTGAATTAGGCCATTTTTCTGGGTGGCATAGAGCATTTTGCATGGAATGTTCTTGAAAACCGCACTCCCAACCTAGTTATGTAATACAGAGATTGTTCTCCCTTCTTCATAACATGGAGGAAAAAACTGGAAATCAGGAGAATGGAAGAATGTAGCCTGTGTCTGTGTGTAGAATCCAGCAGTAGTAACTAAGAGTACTGATCATAAAATGTCGGGCCAGGGATGGAAGCTCACACCTATAACCTCAGCACTTTGGGAGGCTGAGGAGGGTGGAATACTTGAGCCTAGGAGTTTGAGAACATCTTGGGCAACATGGTGAAACTCCATCTCTACCAAAAATACAAAAATTAGCCGGGTATGGTGCCACAGACTTGTAGTCTCAGCTACTTGGGAGGCTGAGGTGGGTGGGTGGTTTGAACCCGGGAGGTGGAGGTTGCAATGAGCTGAGATCATGCCATCACACTCCAGTCTGGGTGACAGAGCCAGACCCTGTCTCAGAAAAGAAAATGTCATCTCAAAAAGAAATCAATCTATTTAATTTAATTTTCTTTTTCTGGACGCTTTTACCAGTGCCTAGGTGATAACATTGCATTATTTCCACTCACATTTCTATATATACTTTATTTCAAAGCTATTCCTTTCTTTATAACCAGCTACCTAACTCACTATCGTGTAGCCACAGAAAATATATTCCTTTATTGAAACAGATTTTCATGGAAAAAAATAGGTGGAAAGTGGTTTAATAGTGAATAAAATTTTTGTAAACCCTTTGCATGTATTTATAATATTTATAACCATGGCCTGCTTTAGGTTGACATCAGTGGAATTAACGTAAGTATATGACAAGAGGGCTTTGGAATTCAGTGATTAGGACTGGATTAACACACATAATTTAGACATGTTCTACAAATTCTCATAAATGATTTACTTTTTCTTGGTAATAAGTGACTTTAAGGATCCCTAAAGGAAGTTTTTTTTTTTTTTTTGGTTTTGCCTGTTATACATCTAATCTCAAAGTTGAATTGACTGTAAAAATAATTTAACCTCTGAATAAACATTCTTCTGTTTTGGCTCCTGTTTAGTGTGAAATCCAGGGATATTGTTACTTTATTTCAAACTAATCACCTGAAATAAATGCTAAGAGAAGCCCAGGATTAGAAATGATTTGTATATATGTGTAATCATATGTTGTGGGGAGTTAAGTGGTTGGAGTCAGCTATGAAAGGAGACTATATCTTATTAGTAACATATGGTTTATCCTATTAGTGGAACATTTCTATTTTTTTTTCTTGATTGCCACAGCAGACAGAAGAATGTGGATAAACAATGTAACTTTGTTTCAGCTGGTTATTGGTAGAGAGATTCTTATGACTTGAGTGATAATTTAAGAAGTACATTTTGAGGGCTAGAGTTTAATTTGTGTGTTTTATTTTCAGAACATGCTTCTATTTCTAGAGGACTGCAGGATCAGATAGTGTCTCTGGGTGCCACAGTCCACTTTGCCTGTGATATTCATGGGAACCCAGCCCCCAACTGTACCTGGTTTCACAATGCACAGCCTATTCATCCTTCCACACGGCATCTAACTGCAGGAAATGGACTGCGAATCAGTGGGGTTACCGTGGAAGATGCTGGGATGTATCAGTGTGTAGCAGATAATGGGATTGGATTTATGCAGTCTACTGGAAGACTTGAAATTGAAAATGGTAGGCTTTTAGGTCATGCAGTCATAAGAAATTTTACTTTACAGATGGGCTTTTGTTGTGTTGAAAAATGAAATTATTAGGCTGGGCAAGGTGGCTCACGCCTGTAATCCCAGCACTTTGGGAGCCTGAGGCAGGTGGATCATGAGGTCAGGAGTTCAAGACCAGCCTGATGAAACCCTGTCTCTAAAAAATAAAAATAAATAAATAAAAGAAAAATGAAATTATTTTTACTAAAAGAAAGTAACCCTAGCACTGTACAAGAATGTTGTTCATTGTGACAGGTAGGTGTATCTATGAAGAAGCAATCTTATTTAATCAAGCTCATTAAAAAAATTTTTTTTAAAAATTTTCAACAGGTTCAACATAATTTAAAAATTTATATGGTACAATCTCTCTCTTACTGTTGTTCCCTAGGAAGTCAGTTCCCCTCTTTAGAAGTGATTCGTTTTGTCAGTTTCTTGAGCATCCTTGTATGTAGTGCACATACAAATGGTTCACACATGAGGGACAGTATGTGTGTGCATTTTATAACAGTATCTGTTTTTGTTTTGTTTTTGTTTTTGTTTTACCTAAATGGTAGTAGCATTCTTTACCATAAATTTTTTACTTAACATCTTGGGATATCTTCACATTTGGTGCATAAAATGTATTTTCATTCCTTTTTTAAAAATTGCTGCTTAGTAGTACATTGTATAGTTGTAACAATTTGACCTAGTACCTTATTGATGGTTGTTTTCAATCTTTTGCTATTACAAATAGTTCTGTAATGAACACCCTTCTACAAAGATTATTTTGCACGTGTGAGTATTTGTAAAAGCAATTCCTAGAAATGAACTTGCAGAATAAAACCATATCTGTGTTGGTAATTTTGTTAGATAGTTCCGAATCACTCTCTATAATCGTTACCAATGTACACTCCCACCAGCAATACATAACTCTTCTAGTTTCCTCAGACTCTCACTAACATGGGGCATTGTCAGTTTTTAAAATCTTTGCAAATCTGGTAGGTTAAAAAAAAAAAAAAGAACCTTTTAATCTATATTTCTTTCATTACAGGGAAAGTTGGGCATCTTTTCATGCTTTTTAACCACTTAAATTTGCATTTCTGTGTATTGTCTGTTCTTTGTCTTTTGCTTATTGAAAAAACTAGGTTGTTGGTCTTTTTTCTTCTTGATTAGGGAAATCAATTGTTTATGATGTGAGTTATAAATATTTTAAATTTAAGATAATCAGTATAATACGGACCAAATTTTCTGACATTAGTATAATTTATTTTGTAGTTAATAATGAAAGCATAATTTGTAAAAATTGGCATGTATTTGGACATTTAAAATTATACTTCTCAATAGTTGGATAAAAAAATAAATCAATAATAGAAATTTAAAATACTTTGAACTGGATAATAGTGAAAATGCCACAGATCAGCTTTGTAAGAGACAGCCAGAATGGAATTTAAAAGGAAATTTATAGCCTTCTGTGGCTGTAAAAGAAAATTAGTAAGACTGAAAACTACTGAGTGAAGTAAAAGGATAACAGAATAGATTCAAAGAAAGGAAAAGAGGCCATAAAAATCAGGGCAGAAATTAATTAATTAGAAAACAAAGGTAAAATAGGATCAATAAAGATAGAAGTTAGACCTTTGTAAAGTCTAATAAAATGGATACATCTTTGGGGATAATGATCCAAAGAAAATAAAGGGGCTACAAATAACAGGAATAAAAGGGGGCTATAAATACAAGTCTTACAGCAATTAAAGATAAGATTATGTTAACTTTTATGATAAAAATTTATAATAAAGACAAATGGACAAATTCTGAGGAAAAATGTAACTTAGCAATGCTGACTGAAAATAAATAAACTGGAATAGTCCTACACCTATGAAAGAAGTTGAATTAGGAGTTAAAAGTCTTCCCACAAAGAAAATATGAGGCCAGATGGTTTTATGGAGGTTCTAGGAAACTTCAAAGTGATAGACCATTCCAAATCCTATGCCTACTGTTTCAGAGAAGAGGAAAAGATGGAAAGTCTCCAGCCTTGATTCTAGAATCACAATAAGATGGTGCAAGAAAGGAAAATTAAAGGCCAATCTCATTTATGAACATCGGTATAAAAACCCTAAATAATATATTAGCAAGCTAGGGCAGCGTAAAAAAGAAAATACGTCATGGCTAAACAGTTATCCCAGGAATCCACTTGAAAATTTAGAGTTTCATTAACCCCATTTATTGAATAAAGGAGGAAAGCAATATGATTCTCTCACTAGAGATGGAAAAACATTGGACATAATTAAGTGTCCATGTTAGATACTTAGAAAAGTAGAAATAGAGTTGAACTTTCTTGACTTGGTAAAGAGTGTCTAACAAGGACTTACAGGAAAACATTGCATTTAGTGGTGAAATGTAAGAAGCACTCCCTTTGAAAATCTCTTACTGGAGATCCTAACCAGTGCAGAAAGACATGAAAAGAAAAAGAAGGAAAGAACCCAGATTGTTGTTAATTTACAACTGATATGATTGTCAAATAGACTATCCCAAATAGTTTGCTACCTGTTATTATGACTGTTATATGTCCTATTATGAGAAATAATAACATTTAGCAAGGTGGCTGGATGAAGACCAGTGAACAAGAATCAGTTGCCTTTCTGTAGACCAGCAACGAACAGAAAGTATAATTTAAAAACCACTTTTTAAATATTATAGCAGTAAAGCACAGGCAGTTAGGTAGGAAGATATACCAGTTCCTCAATATCAGTATTGGGTATTATATCTGGTCTTTCTAAAAATTTTCTGTGGATTCATGCAATTCTAATTGAAGTCCCATTGTAATATTTTGAGGACCTTGACAAACTGATTCTAAAATTTATGTGGATAATCCAAGGCCCAAGAGTGGCAAAAACACTCTAAAAAAGAAAAAGAATATGGGAGACTTGCCTTAAACATCTAAAATATCTGTAGTAATTAAGAAATACTTACATTGGTGCAGAAAAATAGACTCTTGGAATAAGATGGAGACTTTCAGAAAGACATTTGCATATAAGGGCTTGACCGAGCCGGCATTGCTGATCAGCATGGGAGGAGATCCATTTCACATTTTGATGTGGGATAATTGGTTATCAACATGTAGTAAAAGTGAAACTCAGTATCTCACATTGTATAAAGGATAAATTCTCAGTGGAATAAAGATCTAAATATGAAAGACAAAATGAAAATATTTTTGAAGAAAACATTGAAGAATGTATGACCTGTGGGTAAAACTTTTTAATAAGACATTTTAAAAGGCTTATATTAAAAGGTATGACCACATTGAACTGAAAATATCTTCCTAATAGATACTGTTAAAAGCTGAAAAGAAAAGCAGCACATTAGGAAGGAGGTACTGGTCACATTACCTGAACAAATGAACAGAACCTAGTGTATACAGAGAACTCCGAATCACTACAGAAAAGATAGATGGCCCAGTAGAAACACTGACAAAAGGCATTTCACAGGAGGAAAATTAATAATGCCACATAATCACGGGAAAAGATGTTCAGCCTCATTAGTCCTCGGGAAAATGCATGTTCTGACCAGTGAGATCACATTTTACATTCAGTAGCTTGGCAAAAATCCAGAAATCTGATAGCAGTTGTTGGTTGGTTTTGTTTTGTCAGACATGGGAAGGAGGACTAGAGAAAAAGGCAGATATACTGGAGAAAATGTCATTTGCTTTGATCAATATTACATTTTGAGCTCTCTTAAAAATGCCTCCAGAGAATACCAGGACCACAAGGAAGCACTTGGTACCACTTTAATTTAGAAACAAAAATGCTATTCAGTTCTATGGGAAAAAAATGTATATATCATCAGTATCAACTTTTATTCAGAACAAATTTTTTCTCCCCAGGCCTTTTATAATCAAATCCCTACCTCCCCTTCCCACCCCACCCTACAAAATTGACTGTTTTCTTGGAGGCAGATTATCTACTTTTATACTTATTTATGCTTTTTTCTTGTTAAGGTTTGAGGTTTCAACTTCCTATGTTCTATATTTGCAATGGTCAAATATGGATAGTGTACCTTTGGAAGACTCTCAGAAGGTTTCTTTGTATACATTCCTTTCTTTCTGAAGGGCAGGAAATTTATATAGGAAATGTTTAGGAGCCCACAGCTATGAAAAAACTCTTACCTTGTATTGACAGTTTTACTTGGCGAAAGTTGAGAGGGGAACTAACAAGGAGAGAGCTATCTTGGTTCTAATCATTACTGCCACATTTATGCGATAGGATGAAATTGCTTTGCATTGTAGATACTGCAATGTTCTTAAGTTTTCATATGTGAATTGCTTTTTTAATAGACGGTGGATTCAAGCCAGTTATAATTACAGTGCCAGCAAGCACAAAGGTGGTAGACGGAGACTTTGTTACTCTGTCCTGCAATGCCACCGGGCTGCCGGTTCCGGTCATTCGTTGGTATGACAGCCATGGATTGATAACCAGCCATCCATCTCAAGTCCTGAAATCTAAATCCCGAAAATCACAGCCATCAAGACCTGAGGGCTTGGACCTGGAGCCTGTCTACTTTGTCATGTCCCAAGCTGGCGCAAGCTCTCTCCATATTCAGGCTGTGACTCAGGAACGTGCGGGGAAATACATCTGCGAAGCTACAAATGAACATGGTACCACACAGGCAGAAGCGTCTCTCATGGTTGGTGAGTTGCCATTATTATTTATTTTGAGTTGAATAATTTCTTTTTATAGTAGAAGATAAAGTGATTTGAAATATTTTAATGAATCCAGCAATCTCTCTATATTATTTTTCCTGATGACAGTAAAAGGTAGAACTGTATTTTTTGGTATTTGGCTTTATGTGAATGAGATGAACCTTGGTCTCTGTTTCTGATGTGTTTGTTAAGATTATAGTTGCAATATAGAAAGCTCTCATTTTGGAGCAGGCCCAGAATATAACCTGTCTTTGGGATTAATGTTTCTGGTTTTCTAAGCTACTGAACATGATGTTGCAGACATTTTTTATGCCCTTGATAACTACAATATTAAGTCTAAAGGATTGGCTTTCATTGAGAATGTAGAGTTGTGGTACTGTGAAGTAATACCTGTATATATATATTCCCTCTATCTTATCCAAAGTTATTTTCTAATGGGATGTATAATATTAATTCTTTGTATTTTACTGATTTTTTGTGATGACTTAAAAACCATATATGATTTTTGACTACTGGTGTATAGACTATTAATATTTGTGGCAGTGGACTCAGATTTGACTTATTTCAAATTCAAACCTTCCATCAGTAGGCATTTAGAGCAGTGTTCCCCAACAACTAGTCAGCTGGGTGTAGATTGTCGCCTTATTTGTCTTGTGAGAGGCAGAATATCAAAGGCAGTAAGGCTTTGGTCTTGGGTAACTGAGGTCTCTGCCCCAGGCCTCTGCTTTAAGGGGCCTAGCATGGCCTTCTTCTGCCTAGTGCCTTGGACCCACAGGTCAAAGAGCCCACAGGGTTGAGGAGCAGTGCTTATGCTGACTCCAGGGCCCACGTTCTTCCTTCTAGATAGGTCTGGGGCTCCAGCGTTCCCTGCTTTAGTGGATAGGTCTGGGGCTCCAACATTCCCTGATTTAGTGAGTTCACAGTCCGGTCCCCACAATTCCTCTCCTCTGGCCCATCTGCCACAGTCTGGATCACATGACCAATGTATGGACACCCTTAGCCAGAGCAGTGGCCAATGGGTTGTTCTTGGCAGAGGAGTGAGGGTTGAAATAAAAAGAGTTGGATATGTGCATGTAACTTCCCTTCATGTGCAAACAAGAATGCTCTTGCTCTGAATGAAGCTGGAGGAGAAGTGATGGAGACTAGGGACTTCCCCTTATCCTCTGTGCTACTCTCTGCATGTTAGAAGTGGGAGAGATATGGAAGCTGAGCACATGGGCTGTGTCAGAATCCTGGCTGTGCCACTTAGCGGCTTTGTGACCCGAGGGCAAATCGCTGAACGGTGCTGTTTCCTCATCTGTGTAACAGCTATAGTGAAGGTGCCCCACTCATAGGGTTGAGGTGAGAATCCAAGGAGTTAATGCAGAGTAAGCGCTTAGAATGGTGTCTGGCAATAGAAAGCCTTCCATTGATACTAAGCATAAAGTTATGATGATTACTGTCTAATTATTATTAAATTATAACAATCTCTTGTGGCGGTGTTAAGGGAAGGAGGAAATAGTTATTGATTTTGGAAACCTTAAGAATCCTCAAATGAAGAAATAGTTCAGTAAGTAGTTTGTACCTGTAAATGAATATGTGTGTGTGTGTGTGTGTGTGTGTGTGTGTGTGTGTGTGTGTGTGTGTTTATGTTTCTTTTTCTTTTCGGGAGGCTGGAGTGCAGTGGCACAATCTTGGCTCACTACAACCTCTGCCTCCCGGGTTCAAGCAATTCTCCTGCCTCAGCCTCCCGAGTAGCAGGGACTACAGGCATGAGCCACCACGCCCAGATAATTTTTGTATTTTTAGTAGAGACAGATTTTCACCCTGTTGGCCAGGATGGTTTTGATCTCCTAACCTTGTGATCTGCCCACCTCAGCCTCCTAAAGTGCTAGGATTACAGGTGTGAGCCACTGTGCCTAACCTGTGTTTATATTTCTATTCCTCTAGGCAAAACTATCTGTATATCCAGGACCTGGATGTGGCTCTGCTCGAAATTGTTAGCTGCATGACAGGTGTAGTTGCAGGAGCCCCTCAGGTAGAATTTAGCTGAAGTGATTATTTTATGTGAATACAGGGTATAGAGAGACAGATGTCATAATTATAGCTGATGGAACTAGTTATTTTGTCTTACTTCCTCACCTTAAATATGAGAAATCGGAAGCCTTTTAAAGTTACGTGAACTAACTTTAGAAGATCTTTAAGATGGCCAGGTGCAGTGGCTCACGCCTGTAATCCCAGCACTTTGGGAGGCCGAGGTGGGCAGATCATGAGGTCAGGAGTTCAAGACCAGCCTGGCTAACATGGTGAAACCCCATCTCTACTAAAAATACAAAAATTAGCTGGGTTTGGTGGCAGGTGCCTGTATTCCCAGCTACTTAAGAGGCTGAGGCAGGAGAATCGCTTGAAACCAGGAGGCAGAGGTTGTAGTGAGCTGATATGGTGCCACTGCACTCCAGCCTGGGCGACAGAGCGAGACTCCGCCTCAAAAAAAAAAAAAAAAAAAAAAAGACCTTTAAGATTCTCCTGTGCTCCAGGATTTTATGTGCTGATAAATACCACTTTTATGTGTAGTAACCCATCAGCTATATTCTACCAAAGAGGTCCTACATTGTCTTTTTAAAAATTCTATTATAATTGTTAAGAGCCAACTAAGTTTATTAAAACTCAAAATAATACACAGCAACACACTTCTTTGCATGGGAATCTGAGCCTTAGAAAATTCTAGCATCCTGACAAGTCATTTACTTTGTCTACTGTACTGTAAAGGGGAAAGTAAGCTAGGCTAGAGAAAGAACTCCCTCCCCAGTCTTTTGTTCTTTCCAGAGACCTTGGGTTTTTGAGGTCCTGGATGTGCAAATATTTGTAGAGTGTGTGGTACTCTTTAAAACTATAGTGGGAATTGGTGTGGGTTTCCTAAGTAGTTTGGGTTGTGAGTTGCTGGCAGCAGTGCTCACAGTGGGAGCATCTTTGACAGATACGGTTGTACTCCCTATTTAATTCGTTTCCCCTTAGAGTCATTAAATTTGTTTACATCATCATAGTGTATCAATCTCTTTTTTAATTCAAAAAACATTCCACCTTAAGAGATGCTAGGTGTCTGTTCTACCATTTAATAGAGTTCTGAAGATAAATTGAGATAAGACATGCAAAAACACTGGTAAAGTACTGTTAGGGTCTTTTTAGCTGTATTTAGTGAATCTCTCAAGTGCCTAGATTATATCATTGAAACAGAAGTAGAAAGTTAATTGAATCTCCCTTTTAATAAAAATTTAATGAAAAATTCTCATTGCATCTTAAATCTTACAGAAATGGAATTTTGAGACTCAGACAGTGGAGAAGCTGCAGCATGAAGTTTTTCTCATGCTTCTGCATAAACTGAGGCATGTGGCATTTAAAGTCTTTTACAGCCAGATCCCACTTCCCAGTGGAAAACTGCCCGGAGGATCCACTAAACTTCTAATGATAAAAAGATCCTTTTCCACTACCCCAAGCCACAGTTAATTACCTCCACTTGCTGACTCCGTCTCTCTGCATTAGCAGGCACCAGCTCACACCCTGAACATCAGTCCACAGTCTGACTCACTAGATAAACACTGTTGTTCCAGGAGCAATATTTTGAAGTTGTCTCAGTGAACTTAATTAGTTTTCTTCTACATTATTTCCTCACTAGCTTCTTGTTTGCTCTCATGGAGGATGCTTCTGGGACACCCTTTCTCTCCTTTAAACTAACAGAGAACTGACCTTACACTGTGAGTCCTGTTTTCTGTTGGTTCTCCACTACAGTGCAGTCCTTCTCCCAAAAACACACCCACCTTTTACCAGGAATCTGACTTCATTTCGGAAATAAAAGTAGAAGGTTGTTTCATCTGCACTCTTCCTCCACAAAAGGAATGAAAAATAGAATTTCCTGTTGCCAATATTAATAGCATTTTAGAGAAATCAAGCTGTCACTCCTTAGGTTTTATTGTACTGGCTGTATATTTGTTTTTGTAAATTGTTCTTTTTTTTTTTTTTTTCACAGCAGCACCGTTAACATTCTTCTGACAGCTGTCACTTATTCTCTCTGAACCTTAATTTCTTCATCTGTAACATAGGAGTATTACCATCTAAGAATGTTTTGAGAATTAAATGAGATTATGTTTATAAGATATCTAGGACAATGCTTGGCACATAATATGTGCTCAATAATTATCTTTGACTATATGTAACCTATTTATTTTTTCAGTGCAGATAAATTATTTTTATCTTCCTCTGTATATTCTGTATGCTGTTAGTAGTAAGTGTTAAGGCTGCCTGCTTGTTTTATCTTTTTAAAATTTTTCTGAGGGTCTTACTGTGTTGCCCAGGCTGGAGTACAGTGGCACAATCATGGCTCACTGCAGCCTCAACCTCCCCAGGCTCAGGTGATCTTCACACCTCAACCTCCCAAGTAGCTGAGACCACAGATGTGCGCCACCACACCTGGGTAATTTGGTGTTTTTTGCAGAGACGGGGTTTCACCATGTTGCCCAAGCTGGCCTCAAACCGCTGGGCTCAAGCGTTCTGCCCTCCTCGGCCTCCCAAAGTGCTGGGATTATAGGTGTGAGCCACTACACCTGGCCAACTTAAAATCTTCTGAGGTTAAACTAGAAAATGATTATTACAAAAAAGAGTATCCTTAGAGAACAAGGAAAAAATAAAAACATTTAACTGCTAAACTATTGCATCATATATTTGGTTTTTCAAACAATTCATTTGCTCCCCCATGAGAAAAATTGCTACTAGAAGTTAAATGTTTCCGTGAATTATAAACAGCAGTGTTACCTGTTTTAACTTCCAGGGCTCAAATTGTGCTAACGATACCAGTGAGGGCAGTCATGTCACAAACTGAGTAGAAGACACTGAAATGAGGAGTTTCTTTAACCTCTCTCCTCTCTCTCTCTCTAAAGTTCCTTTTGAAACAAATACAAAAGCAGAGACAGTCATGTTTCCTGATGCTGCTCAGAATGATGAAAGAAGAAAGAGAGATGGTTCAGAAACTGGATTACTGAGCTCATTTCCAGTAAAGGTCCATCCCAGTGCAGTGGAATCAGCACCGGAGAAAAATGCCGGTGACGTCTCTGTCCCTGATGCCCCCATCATATTGAGCCCCCCACAGACCCACACACCAGACACGTACAACCTGGTGTGGAGGCCAGGCAAGGATGGTGGGCTGCCCATCAATGCCTACTTTGTAAAGTATCGAAAGGTAACGTCTTGTCCTTTATCATCTTTCTCTGCTCACACCTTAACACTCTTTGTATGACATATGCTGTTGTCTTTTCCATTTGTGGGATGGCAGGAAACAGAACAAGGGTATTCCAGAATGATGAGTTTGTCAGAGACAGATCCCAATCATGCTGGATTTACGAATTTTTTTTTTTTTTTTTTTTTTGATGGAGCCTGGCTCTGTCACCAGGCTGGAGTGCAGTGGTGTGATCTCAGCCTACTGCAAACTCTACCTCCCTGGTTCAAGCCATTCTCCTCCCTCAGCCTCCTGAGTAGCTGGGACTACAGGCACGCACCACTATACCCAACTAATTTTTGTATTTTTAGTAGAGATGGGGTTTCACCACATTGGCCAGAATGGTGTCAATCTCTTGACCTTGTGATCTGCCCACCTTGATTTCCCAAAGTGCTGGGATTACAGGGCGTGAGCTAACGCACCCAGCCTAGATTTACCAATCTTATGAAAGCACTGAGAATGAAGTATAATTTACCCCCAAATTGGGATTCTAAGAACCCAATGATGTCTTTACATGTTTAATCAAACACTTTAATCCTTCAATATAAAGCTCTATAACCACTTTTAAAATATGAATTCTTTCCTTCTCTAAGGTAGAATACCATTTATTTAGCAAAAAAGCAGTTTCTTATTAAAATCAACTGTCTGAACAGAGTCTTTGGCATAATTTATGCCAATTGTTTGTATTTCAGGTTTGTTTGTTGGTTTGTTTTGAGATAGGATTTTGCTCTGTTACTCAGGCTACAGTGCGGTGGTGTGATCTCGGCTCACTGCAGCTGTCGCCTCCTGGGTTCCAGCAATTCTCATGCCTCAGCCTCCTGAGTAGCTGGATTTGGAGGCATGCACTACCATACCTGGCTAATTTTTTTTGTATTTTTAGTAGAGATGGAGTTTTGCCATGTTGGCCAGACTGGTCTTGAACCCCTGACCTCAAGTGATCCACTGCCTCATCTGCCCAAAGTGCTGGGATTACAAGCGTGAGCCACTGCACCCAGCTTCAAGTTGTCTTTTTAATTGTATTAAAATCATACATCGTTTGGTCATTTTTGGGGGGTAAACCTTGGGCCTCTCTCAGTTAACTCTTTAAATATTGTTTTCCCCATGGGCTTGTATTAGAGCGGAATGGAAAAGCTCCTCTCTGTTTAATGAGACCAGAAAATGAATGAAATGGGAGGGATGCATTCATATTTAAAATAATTTTCTTTGTTCAAGAAATTTTAGTATACATTGTTGAATGGTAATGTTTTTAATGACTAGGAAAAATAACATGATGATATTTTAAGGGTTATGTACTCTTTCTAACCTAATGAATGATTCTAGATGAAGAGGTTTTGCTGGTAATCTTATCTACCCTAAAACCTCCATGCAATATTGTTTCTTGGTTCCATTAATCAAGAAGCAACTGATTAGATCTCTTTTTATACATAATTATATAATTCATATACATACAAACATAATATATCTGTCTTAATTTATCATATATTATGTATATTATATAAATACCAATACTACCTATTATTTTATACTTATTTTATTCTTCATTAGCCCAGGAAGAAAGTATTGTCTTCATTACAAGTAAAGGAAACAGACTCTGGGAGGGCAGTAACTTGCTTGAGGCCACACGTTAGTGGTCAGATGTAGAGCCAGGAATCTTTTTACAGTGAGAATTGCAGCATTCTTGCAACAGATCTTATCTTTCTTAATGTGAAGTAGTATTGTGTCTTATTTACTTACCATGGTGTATTACTTCTTAAAACTCTTCTAGAATTATGTAAATCCTAGTTTTGGTAAAATGTGACTGAAAGATTTCCTCCCCTCCATCTCCTGCGTTTCTGGTGTGTTTTCTCTTCGGCAGCTGGATGATGGGGTTGGCATGGTGGGGACCTGGCACACGGTTCGAGTCCCAGGAAGTGAAAATGAGCTCCATTTGGCTGAGTTGGAGCCGTCTAGTCTTTATGAAGTCTTGATGGTAGCAAGAAGTGCAGCAGGTGAAGGCCAACCTGCCATGCTTACCTTCCGAACCAGCAAAGGTGAGTGCAGGCTTCCTTTGGAGGACCGAGCTGACTGCCTTGATGTCAATTTAGTAGTAAGAATTCTTTTGGATAGTGGAAATTTCTATATATAAATTCACTAAATGACTCTATTATAGCCCCTCCCTTCCATTTTGGGGTCACATTTAGGTGGTCGTATTATCCTATTCCATCGAATATTCCACAGATGTTTTTAAAAGCTGATTATATACAAGACATGAGGGTAGATGATATAGGGAAAATGAAGATGGTCAAGATGAGAGCCATCCCAATGGAGCTTATATTTTGATAAGAAAGATAAGATGTGTAACTTAATACCAACTGCAAGACAGTATTCAGTTCAGCTAATATTTATTGAATGCCTTTTACATGTCAGGCAAGAAGCAAAATAGGCAAAACTTGTGGCCTCATAGAGCTTAGATTTTAGTTGAGAGAGACTTATACATAAGTTATAAGTACATTAGAAGGTGTTAACACAGACATAAGTTAGGGGGTGGATATAGGAAGTATATGGGGAAGGAGTTGTTAATGGTTTAAGCAGGTGGCCAGAAAAGTCCTTAATGAGCTGTCCACATCAGAGCAGAGACACTAAGGGGAAGTAGAAAGCCACATGTCTCTGTAGAGAAAGAACATTCCCAGCAGAGATAGCGAGTGCCAGAGCCCCAGTCGGGGTGTGCATGGTGTTCACTAGGAACACAGGGGGCCACTGTGATGGGAGCATCATGGGTGAGGAGGCTGTAGGGGAGAGGTCCCAGGGAACACCAGGGTGTCCACATCACACAGTGTACCATCCACCTTGAGAGGACTTTGACTTTACCTCTGAGTGAGCTGGGTGGAGTCTAGATAGAGTGGAGGAGGCAGGAGTGTAGACAAAGAGACCAGCATATGCCAGGTACCATGGGAGATTTCCAAGGACAGTGCTGGGGAAGCACAAAGAAAGGATATTCTTTCTTCAGGGCAGCTTGTGAGGGAAGGCTTGCTAAAAAGATGCCATTGTGGCTTGGCTGTAAATGAACAGAGACTTCAGTGGATAGAGAAGGGAACTGGGTGGAAGTCTTTTAGTATGGCACTCTAATGAAAAGGAGGTATGAAGATTGAGAAGAAACCAGCTAGTGGCTTTTGAAAAAGACCCTTCCATCTAATTACTAAGACTGGTCAGAAAAATAACAAGTACTTTCTATTTTAAATGTATCTTGAGTTAATTTTCATAATCAGTCATTAGGTGTTCATAGAGTCACCTATAAATACTGAATAATTGTGCATTTCAGTTTTTAACGAATCACTCAGTTTCACTTTTTGCCTCTTGAAATTTTAAAAAGATGTGACAATTTTCCTGAGAAAACTTAGCAGAAGCTCTTTAAAAGTGAGTTTTATGGCTTAGAATTAGGAAATATATACAGTAAAAAGAAAAAATGGACTAATAATTTGAACACCTAGCCATTTGTCTTTTTCACTTTTTTTTTAATGTATAAAAAGTTAGAAAGAAGAAAGACATATTTTAGCATTTCTTTAAAGATACTAGGAAAAGAAAAAGTAATTTTTGGTCCATTCCTCAGATCAGCTAAGTATTTATGAAGTAGGTCTTAAATTTAGATGCTATGGCAGGTAAGTTCATAGATTTAATAACCACATACCAGGTAAGTTTCATAGTACTCTTTTTTTTTCGCTTTACATACATATTAGCTTATGTATATGTTTTTTAACCTTTCTAGAAAAAACAGCATCATCCAAAAACACCCAGGCATCCTCTCCACCTGTGGGCGTCCCTAAGTATCCTGTTGTTTCAGAGGCTGCAAACAATAATTTTGGAGTAGTACTTACAGATTCCTCTAGGCACAGTGGAGGTAAAAAGAAGAATATTTTATTGTTCCTTTACAAATATAACTGACCTGCTTCAGATTTTGGGAGGTGGGGTGGAATAGGGTGTTTGTTTATTTTCATATCTTAGCATACAGGTCTTTCAGATTTTATTTCAACCATTTTAATATCTTACATTTAAATTTTGGCCTGTCAGTGTCATGATTAGCACTTAATTAACTCTGACTCAAAATGTTCTGCTACTAAGTTTTTATAACTCAAGAAGGGAGTTTTGTGGCGAGGCACCGTGGGAGGCCAAGGTGAGCAGATCACTTGAGCCTAGGAGTTGGAGAGCAGCCTGGGCAACAGCAACACAGGGGACTGCCCCTATTAAAAATTCAACAACATGATCCGGGTTGGTGGTGCACACCTGTTGTAGTCCTAGCTACTCAGGAGGCTGAGGTGGGAGGATCTCTTGAGCCTGGGAGGAAGATGTTGCAGTGAGCCGATCGCACCACTGTACGATCATTCACTCCAACCTGAATGACAGAGTGATACCCGGTCTAAAAAAAAAAAAAAAAAAAAAAAAAAAAAGAAGAAGAAGAAAGGAGTTCTGTTTCCTCTCTGGTAAGAGAAGGAAATTTGTATTTTGAACTCTGAAAATCTCACTTTTTGTCTGTGTGTGACTTATCAAAATGTATAGTGGTGCCTGTTGTTATTTTACTGAAGGATTACATGTTATATTCACTGTATTTTTTTTTCTGTATCTAGTTAATCTTATGGTTTTTAAATGTCTTGGCTGTATAATTTTCAAAAGACTTTTTTTGTATTTAAATTTTGCACTTAGGCGTTCAATACTTAGAGCTAAGTGTGCTTTTGTAATTGTTCTAAAATGTCAGGACATCTAGGGAAGACTTAAAATTTCATTGCTAAGCTCTAAGAATTTTCAGACATCTCTTCCGTATTTTTACAGTTTTCCATGAATTGATCTCAGACAAAAGCAGATTATAACACTTTGAACTCCTTCTGGAGCGAAATCATGAATCCCTTTTACTTGAGTGCTGTTACCTCTGAGGCATGTTTCAGCTATCTTAAGTGGATTATGTATATGAGTATTAATTTCATGTGAATAAAAGTATCCTCTGAAAAACAAAAACCTTACTATTTATTTTTCACGTCCTCTGGCAAATACTGTATGAAATGCTAGAACAGCAAAGATAAAATAATCCTTGCCTTCAATAAGCTTACAGTATATGCCAAGCACAGTGGTACACAGTGGCTCATGTCTGTAATGCTAGTGCTTAGGGAGGCTGAGGCAGGATGATCACTTGAGTCCAGGAGGTTGAGAATAGCTTGGGCAATATAGTGAGACCTGGTCTCTAGAAAAAATTTTAAAAGTCGCCATGTGTGGTGGCATGCACCTGTAGTCCTAGCTACTCAGGAGGCAGAGAGGCAGCAAGATCATTTGAGCTCAGGAGTTTGAGGCTGCGGTGAGCTATGATTGTGCCACTGTACTCCAGTATGGGTGACAGAGTAAGATCGTATTTCTATTTTTTTTTTTTTAATTACAGTATAGTGGATGATATAGATAGCTAACCCCATAACAATATGTGGACAGTGTAGACAAACTAATAACAATTTTGATTGATTACGCTTCAGATTATACCCTTGGTGTTATGGGATCACAAGAGAAATATCTAAGTCACTCACTCAATGTGGACAAGGGTGACTAGAGATAAGAGAGGCTTCTCTGCATTGTAAGCTAAGCCTCAAAGGACAAGGATGATATAGCTAGATGAAACATAAGAAGAGTTTCTAGCAAAGACATCTGCTTGTGCAATAGACAAGTGGCTGACATGTTCTATTTTGTTTAGGGACTGAGGGGTTAGTGATTGTGTTTAGTATGACTGGTTGCTGTGGAGAATGATGCTCTAGTGGGCCAGCAGGTAGGTACCTTGTATGATACACTTCAAAGTTGAATTTTTCCTTGACAGCTATAGTGAACCCCAAGGGATTAAGGAGAAGGGAGGAGTGGCAAAAGATAAGGCTAGAGAAATAATAAGGGAAGTGACAGTGTGGATGGAGGAGGGGGAGGACCTGTATGAGAGATCAGGGGAATGGAATCCACACTGCATGAGAAGGAGAAAGAAAGTGGTGGCTTGAGCACCAGAAGACCATTTACCAAAATAAGTAATAAGAGTTTTTAGGTGAAGATTATGGATTCAGTTTTTGAAATCGTGAGTTTGGAGTTGTCCAAGCAGAGATAACTGTAAGAAGTAATTTATTTAATATTCGTGATAACCTAATAAGGAACAGATTTCCATACCTGTTTTATAGATTAGGAGACTGACATGTGAGGAGGTTATGCACGATGCCTCAGATCATCCAGAAAGTGAAGGAACTGCTTGCTGTTCATGTCCTTTTCTGACTCCAAGTGCAGCCTTTCTTTTATTCCTTAACAGTCACATGCTATTTCTTTTAGATATTGAAGATATTCTTTTCTGTAGAGACATTTTCCCTAATAACTTTCTTTTTCCTATTTGATCTGTGGTGTTTGGTGAGTTTTGATTTCAGATGAGTCAACATAAGGAAGTTGTTTTATTTTCTAGTTTTAAAAAAGAGATTCACTAACCATTCTATTCATTCTGTTTTCTTTGCTTTCTACCTTGAAAGGAATACAGTAAGTATCATTCAGCATTGCCTGCTTTGAATATATTCTTCTTTTATCCCTTAAGCAATTTGTTTTTTAAAATGCTACAGTTTTCTCCATACAAATACCACATTCAACTTAATTTTCTTCTTATGTATTTGTACGGTGAGTTGAAGACATGTGGAGGTGGAAGGGAATTGCTCAGTTGAGGAGCATGGCATAAGCCAGATAGGGATGGGGCTCCCTAGTGGCTTTCCCAAAGTAACTAGTATCACCAAGGCCCAGAGCTGGCCCTCCACATTCCAGCTCTAGAAACTTGATTGTCAGCATGCCACAAGATCACCGGTCTCTCGAAAACCAGCTTATGTCTACAAAATTCACAGATGATCAAGGCAAACTGGAATGGCGATTACTAGTTTACAATGTCACTGTCATACAGACCGGATTATTTCTATCAGCATTCTTTCCTTGTAGGAACCAAGTGGGAAGCCAGTTACAACCACAAGATCACTTGTGTTAGTCTGTTCGTGTTGCTACAAAGGACTACCTGAGGCTGAGTAGTTTATAAAGAAAAGAGGTTTATTTGGGTCATGGTTCTGCAGGCTGTGCAGGCATGGCACCAGCATCACTTGGCTTCCAGTGAGGCCTCAGTGAGGAGAAGCGAGAGCAGGCACATCACATGGTGGGAAAGGGAACAAGAGAGACACCACACGCTTTTAAATCACCAGCTCTCGTGTGACTCAGCAGAGCGAGAACTCGCTTACTACCATGGAGAAGGCACCAGGCCATCATGAGGGATCCACGCTCATGACACAAACACCTCTCCAGTCCCCACTCCAACACTGGGGGATCACTTTTTAACATGAGATTTGAAGAGAACAAGCATCCAAGCCATATCACTTGTCATCAAGAAGAGTTAGATACATCGTTTCAATGGCTGATGAGGTTATTCCTCATGTTTTCACCTCCTGCAGGGTCTAGACCATTTACTTTTTGGGTTAGGACATCCCCTTTCCTTGGCAGTGCTAAGTGAAAACTGCTAGCTTTAGGTCTAGCAGTTTAGGTCTAGCTCCCTAAACCCCTTTTCTACATCTTCACGTGGATCATCTGTTTTCTGGTAGCACCTTTATTTAACACCATATCCTGTCTTCCTGTATTCATCCTGAGCAGCGTTCTCTCTCCCCTTTAGTATCAGTATCGATTTTATCAGTCAGATTTTATCTTTTTTTGCCACTTGCAGTCTGTATTTTGGAGTAACCTCCCTACGGCCTTGAGGTATATTAAGGTAATATGGAATAGTAATAGTATAAGAATTAGTAGATTGCTAAATGTATTTTGTGTAGCATGGATAAAGAAAAACATTTAAATAAGATAACACATAATTGTGAAAATTTATAATAAATTTTATCCACAATCAAACTTGAAGCATTAATACTTACATATTATTTTAGTCATGAATCTAAATAGCATGGTGAAAATGATCATACTCGTCTGCTTTCAGTCTTTCAGAGCTAATTATCAAATTTATAGATGATTTTACTTTCTTTTATTTCCTGTATTCCCATTAGCTTTTTACAGAGGACAGGAAGATAGCTATAAGTGTTATAAACTCTGGCAAAAAGTTTGGTGAAGAACCTTTAATAACGTGAAGTTTGGGATTTATCCCTTTCATTTATCTATGTTATTCCTGTCTCTGACATGATGGGCTATTGAAATGAACGTTTCTGTCTTTAGTTCCAGAAGCACCTGATCGGCCTACCGTCTCCACTGCATCAGAGACGTCAGTCTATGTCACTTGGATTCCTCGGGCAAATGGCGGCTCTCCAATCACTGCCTTCAAGGTCGAATATAAACGGATGAGGACCAGCGATTGGCTGGTAGCAGCTGAAGACATCCCTCCTTCCAAACTTTCAGTGGAAGTTCGTAGTTTAGAACCAGGTAGTGATATTCAAACATTTCCTTTTACCATCGGTGTGAACTTTAGATACATATATTTATATATTTTGAAAGAGGGTCTTATTCTGTTGGTCCAGGCTGGGGTGCAGTGGCGCACTCATGGCCTACCTCAGCCTCTTAAGTAGCTGAGACTACAGGCACTCACCACCGTGCCTGGCTAATTTTTGTGGAGACAGGGTTTTGCCATATTGCCCAGGCTGGTCTTGAACTCCTGGGCTTGTGCAATCCACCTTTCTCACCCTCCTAAAAGTGCTGGGATTACAGTCATGAGCCATAGTGCCCAGCAGATGCATATTTTTAATAATTCATATTTTTTTCTAATTGTTAAAGTATTCATGCTTATTGTATAAAAATGTAAAAATAAAGAAAATATAAAGAAGAGAAGAAATCACCTAAAATCCACCCATTCCGAGATAATCATGATTATTGTTTATATTTCATTATATTTTTTCTTAGCCTTTTTTCTCTTTTTAATACCAACTGGGATCATGCCATAAGTATTGTTTTAATACCTCATGTTCCCCATATTTTATCACATATGTTTTCCAGTATCATTAAAAATTCTTCACAAACTCGACTTTTAGTGGAGATATATCTTTCATATAAATAAATATACCATAATCCACTTGGCCATTCTTTATTTCTGGGCTTCAGATTATTTATTTGCAATTAGAAATAATGTGGTGCACATCTTATATGTGTGTGTGTGTTTTGCTGTGACTGAATAAGAAGAAAATTGCTTGTTATTTGACAAAAAGTGTTTGATCTGATGCTGAATTTCAGCACAGTGGTAATACTCAGTGCTTAGTGTTATGGAAATGAGTCAGTGATGAACACGTGTTTGTTCTCTAAGTTTTGTTTCAGCAGAGGAGCCCTCCCCTCCCAACAAGAATCTTGAGGCTATATGAAGAAATTAAACCATAAAAGAGAAAAAGCATAAATAAACTTTCTGTTCTTTGATTTGTTTAGGTTTCATGGCAGTTTTTTTCTGGACTTTTAAATGTACGTTAGTAGCAAATGCCTGTGGCTGTCAAAACAAGTAACACAGCAGCATAGGGTCCTGTAGGTATACTTGGGAGAAGCATCAGTTTTAAATGTGGGTGAAGCTAAGAAATATTTTGTAGATTGAAAACACTGTCTTCAGAAGCTCAATAATTACTTTTGAGCTATCAGGAAACTTGCTATAGCATTTTAACTTATTCTTTAGGTTCAGTTTTTCAGAATTTCACAATCCTCAACTTTTTTTTTAAGTTCTTAATATGTAATTCAAATAATTCCTTCCACGGTAGTTAAATCTGCTCCCTCTTACCCTGTTAGCAGTGGAACCAGAGTGACATCTGCGGCCGCCCACACAGTGCCTCTTTATAAGTGTATTCACCATATTAAACCTTGCTTCAGTTGTTTCTTTTAAAGAGAAAAGAACTTAGTTTTGGGGACAGATAGTTCAACTAATACTGTGATTGATACTTAGAACAGGATGGTGAAAAGAGCAAATGTCCTCTTTCCTATTCTCTACCTGCTCCTTCCCTGAGATGTCATTAATCTTTTGCAGCCTTCTTTCTTGGTGACTCCTAAGAAGGTTTTGGGATCTTGAACACAGTGCATGGAGCAGCTACTCCCAATTGATTGAAATTGTCAATTGGGTTGAAATCTACCATACAGGCTTTAGATACTTTATTATAGATAGGTACTTAAGCACAATTGCCATATTTTGACTATTCTACCTTTGATTTTCTTAGTTATGTTTTTGTTTGTTTGTTTCTGTTTTTGTTTTCTCTCAAAGGTTCAACATACAAATTTAGGGTCATTGCCATCAACCATTATGGTGAGAGTTTTCGGAGTTCAGCATCTCGTCCCTATCAGGTGGCTGGGTTCCCCAATCGCTTTTCCAACCGTCCAATAACTGGACCTCACATTGCATACACAGAGGCTGTCAGCGATACTCAGATCATGCTAAAGTGGACGGTCAGTAAACATCTTCTTGCATGAGATTTTCTGGTTTGGTCATGGTAACAATCAATTTAATGTTCTCATGACACAATACAGTAAACAGCAAATTTTGAACTTTTAATTGAGGGGAAGTGCAAGAGCACTAATTTTTGTCTGAATAAAAGCATATATTATAAGGAGGGGCAGGGTTAAAAAGAAAATTATTGTTTCCTCAGCTCTCATCCAGGTGTTGTTAACTTAACTGCCATCGTGATTTATTCATTTTGAACCAAATGTGCTTTTATGCTTTTGAACCCAGGGAAATGTAGTGCTTTATTTCTGTTTAACCCTGCAGTAAGCTAAATGCTCTTAATACCTTTGAGTTAAGTTAAAAATGGCCATTATTACTATGTTTGCAAAATGAAACTAGAAAAATGTAAGGTGATAAAGAAAACTTAATGAATGAGAAAGTTACATTTATTTTTGTCTTTGACAAGTCTTTGCTTCTGTTTTTTAGTACATTCCATCAAGTAACAATAACACTCCCATTCAAGGATTTTATATCTATTACCGACCAACAGATAGCGACAATGACAGTGATTACAAGAGGGATGTTGTAGAAGGTAAGTCCCCCTGGCACACTGGAGTCCCTGTCAAGGAGCTTTGGAGAAAGAAGGTTTATAAATATAAAATGCATCATCCCAAGATAAGACAGTACAAAATGGAATGGTGTGTGTGTTACTGCTGTTGAATCTGTCCCAAAGAAAGCCACCTATTCCAATGTAATATATGTAGCATCTTATATTTTGGTTGCAGAAACTTGCACAAACATTTGGGGAAAATATGATTAACCAGTAGTAGTTCATCTGAAAGAAAATTTTGATTTCTGTTTCATTTAAATGAACATTGGCCTGAGTATGAAAATCCATTGCAGTGTTTGGCTACCTTTAATAAATAATATCTCACTCAATTTCACTGGAGTCTGTCCTAGAAAGATCCTGTGTTAAGCATCTTGCTCACTTGTAGAGATGCTGAGAAATTGGAATGCATGTAGAAAAGAAAGAAAACAGCTAAGATGGTGAAGGGTATTGAAACTGCTTTTTAACTGCATTTAAAATAGAATTCACAATTTTGCCTGTGGCCTGAAGGCCCACCTGACCTGGCTGGCCCCTGCCTATACCACATCTCTTGCACCTCTCCCTTTCTGGTCCTTCTTTCAGTTTCCTGGTGTGCACTGAGACATGTTTGCCTCAGGACCTTGGCACAGGGTGGTTCCTGTTGCCTTTACCTAGTTGTGTGCACAGAAAAATTGTCCCACTTTTCAAAATGCTTGACAGAGTCGAATTACAGGGAGTCAGATCTTCCCCATAACTTCCTCTCAGGTAACTTCCTCTTATTTGTATGACACGGTACCTTGCTGTAGTTTCTAACCATACCCTTTATGTTTATTTCATAGCAGTTATCAAAGTTTAAGTACATGGTTGTGTGTGTGTATGTGTTTGTGTGAGAGGGACAGACAGTGTGTGTGTTTGAAACTGTTTGCTTAAACTCTGTCTCCTCTACTAGATAGTAACTCCCTTGTGAGCATGGGACCTTTTCTCCCACTGCTATATCTCCAGCCCCTCCAATGGTGAGGCCGTCAGTATTATATTAATATATGAATGGAGTCCAAAAAGAACAAGGGAATGTCTAACGATATTCAGGTTGAAAAAGACTAGCAGAAGCAACATGATTACTGCCTTCAAGTATTTAAGGATTGTTATGTGGAAGAGAGCTGAGTCAATTGGGGAAGTTGCAAGAAAGCAGTGTCAGAAAGAATTTTCTAACATAGCATTTCTAACATAGGTTCCCCCACAAAGTCATAGACTCCTTAATGTTGAAAGTGCTCAGTAGAAGCTGAGTGCCCGTTTCTCAGTGATACCTTGGAAGGGATTGTTGCTTTGGGAGGAAGCCTTCTTCCAAGGTCTTTTTTTCACTCCTAGATTCTGATTCTTTGAAATGAGAAATGTCCTACTGAATTATGTCAGAAAATTGCCGTAGGCCAAGGTTACTTTCCATATGCCTTCTTGACATCAAATACTGCATATAGTTTGTTTTATAATAAATTACTTGATGCTGTATCACATTTCTTAATATGTTGTAGCAGTCTTTTTCATATTTTTCCAGTGGAATGCTTTTGTAATATAATGAGAAATTTATGATCCAGCTTTTAATACTCAGCACACAGTAGATGCTCCGTAAATGTTTTTTGAATGAAGGAATGATTATTTCTTTTCTTCCATAACTTTTAGTGGCAAAACTATTCTTTGCTGTTAGGACTCACAATAATAGCTGTCTTGTGGGAAAGAAGACCCTGGAAGGGGCATGAGGTGACGTTTGGGGTGGGGGGCTTTCCTGTGTTCTCTTTGTTGACCTAGCTATGGGTACCATGGGCATGTCTGGTTTGTGAACATTCATTCAGCTGCATGGTTATGTGGATGTTTCTGTATGCATACTTTACATCAGTAAAAAGGCTATTTTAGAAAAGAAATGGAAGGATAATATTTAGGTTGGTGCAAAAGTAACAAGAAATTGCGGCTTTTGGCATAACTTTTAATACCAAAAACCGCAATTACTTTCGCACCAACCTGATAGTGATCATTCTCCATTTTGGGACTATCTGGGTCTTCATTTTATTTCATTGGGTTTAGGGCAGCGGGGATGTCAGAATTTTGCTTTTAAAAATTTTTGACAGAGGCCAAACATTTGCCATAAAATAGTTGTAAACAAGACAAATGTAAATAAAATGAGTATCTGTCTCTGTCTCTTCTTTTCTCTCTCGTCACCCTTCTTGGTTCTATGTTCTAGAAATATCCACTAATAAACAGTTTTAAAACTATATTCTATAGTCAAATCTTTGCGCTTTTGCAAACTTCTGTAATATGCATATTGAGCATGGATCTTGAAAATTATTTAAAGAAGCTTTCATATCTAGTAGTAATGTCTGCAAATGTCAGTTTCGCCTTAGGTTCACAGAGAACTTGTTTATAAATGTAATATACTGAGCAGTTAGATGTTTAAGTGGACTTCACTGTGCTGTGTAATTTGCTTATTCTATATTTTCAAGTTTATGCATTTGAAATTCTTTTTGTGGCAGTTGGAAACTATTGGTCTATTTGCCAAAACGCAGGAACAAAACTATTCATTCTTTGTACTTTTAAAAATAGTTTTAGATTACTTCTGTGAATTGACCCAAAATTTAAACTTTTGAAAAAAAAATTAAAAGTCACCAGAAAATGGTTTAAAAAAAAAGTCAAATTGTAGAAGAATATAGAGAATTTAGAAGAATATATGTAGAGAAGGACAATTAAGCTGTCCTATTTTCTGAATGAGGTTCCACATTTTGATAAACTGTAAATGTTTCCAGCACACCAGTGTTTTTATGTTGAATATGTTTATCTTTTAAAGTTAAGTCAATTCCAAGTAAAATATCAGTTCTTCTGATCTTTAAGTCTGTGCTTTGGTTTCTCTCTGAGGTAAATCCTTACCTATTCTAAAATATCCTTTGGGGAAATAATTGCCTGTTAATCAAAGGATATGTGCTGATTGGTCCGTTTTAAAACTAATGATGTATTTAGTTGTCTTATTCATCAATGATCAGTAAAATTGTCTTTGCTGCTATTTCCTATAATTTTAGCCATTGGCAGAGTAACTGTAACAATGGAATATAATCTAATAAGATATGTATTATTTTAAGTTTTTCTCTTATTAGTAACATATCAGAAGCCTAGTTTAATTCCATTTTTATGAGCACTATGAAAGGAAAACTTCAAATCCAGTGTAGTAATTATTCAAGAGAATGTTTCTAGTGTAGGTGAGTGTAGGACTGGGTTGGAAAACACCCAAGGCTAGAGAAAAAACAGAAGTTTTTCGGAAAGCCTTTGGATTTTAGAGACAGATCTATTTCATTTTCAACCAGTTTTTGAGTCAACATCTTTTGGGGGGTTCTTTTTACATTTATAAATGGGGTATAGAACTACTTACTTTTGAGTCTTTCAGAGACAATACTAAAACAAGCAGATTTCCTTCCTTAGAAGACATGGGTCCATACAAGTGAAGGGTTTTGTACTGATGACTTGGAAAGAGGCTTATACTTCCAGATTGAAATATTTTTGTCTGTGTTGAATTAAAAAGGAGTCTGGTGATATTGGTCCTGTCAGCCAAGTAGATTTAACTTGTGTGTGTGGTTTTGTTTTGGTTTTTTTCCTCCCCCATTAATTAATTCTTAAATGAGTTGGGGGTATACTTGAGTTTCTAAGAAATAGTGGAGACCATCTGAAGAGATTTTTCTGCAAGGGATTAAGGGTGCTTGAAGAGTTAATTTAATCTGGCAAAAATGTCCCTGCATATGAAACATTGTCACAGGTCCATGGAAGTAAGAATGAAGAGTGATTTATACCGGGGCGTTCAGTTTAGGAGCGTTTCTAAATGAAATGTTGGCTGTGTGCCACGGGTAACAGAATCATTCTACTAGAGATACTTGTGTGGTTTGGAGATCTTGACTCAAGAGAAAAGCAGGAGTGGGGGTGGTGGCTGAGAGTTTCCCATAGTAGATTTTGCTTTTTGATGATTCTCAGCAGTTTATTCAGGCATTCAGTCATATGTCAGTTGATGTTACATCCATGACAGTGGAATTGAGAATTTTGCTAAGACCATTCTTGTAACTGGTCAGCTGCTCTGGGTAGTGTACAATTTGCTGATCCCGAATGTATTGTTGCTTTTTGGTGGGTGGACATAGTGAATTGACTTGCTGGGTTAAAATAGGGATGAAAGGACTTGAGGTTTCTTTCCTATGCATAAAATTAACACCTATTTTATGAAAGACTCCCACTAATTATTTTTAATAAACAAATATTATTGCCAACACACAGATACAGCTTTAAGTCAGTCAGCTTCTATCTCTTCTCTTTATCTTTTTTTCATGCCATGTAATAGCAATGCTGTTTATGTGTGGTACATTAGTAGAATACTTACTGGTAAGTACATTTTTATTGCACAGACTACTAGATTGTGGTGAATGCTCCTCCAGCCATATTCCGAAAATATTAACTAATTATGTTGACATTATCATTTAGGCTGTATGATGTGTAAAGCCTTTTATTTTTCCTTTTAGGTTCAAAGCAGTGGCACATGATTGGCCACCTGCAGCCAGAAACCTCCTATGACATTAAAATGCAATGCTTCAATGAAGGAGGAGAAAGCGAATTTAGCAATGTGATGATCTGTGAGACTAAAGGTAGGAGAATTTTTGCTTTTCCCCTGGACAGTGATAGAATTCCAACCCCGGATTACTGCTTCTGCCTATTGATATATTTTGGGTGGTGGTGTGGGTGGTGGTGTTTTCTTTTGAGACACACTCCCACTCTGTCGCCCAGGCTGGAGTGTAATGGTGCGATCTTGGCTCACTGCAACCTCCGCCTCCTGGGTTCAAACAGTTCTCCTGCCTCAGCCTCTTGAGTAGCTGGGACTGCAGGTGCCCACCACACACCAGGCTAATTTTTATAATTTTAGTAGAGTTGGGGTTTCACCATGTTGGCCAGGCTGGTCTCGAACTCCTAGCCTCAGGTGATCCACTCGCCCAGGCTTTCCAGTGTTGGAATTACAGGCGTGAGCCACCATACCCGGCCATGACTATTGAGATATTTGCCTAAGGAAATTTCTGCTTTGGATCATTTTCTGGGTGCATACACTTAGACTGTCCCAACAAAAGGACAACATATGGGCTAGTGTACTTGTCTGAAAAATAGTTTACATAATCATTCATCTTGTTATTAATTTCTGTGTGACTCTAAGTAAATCACCTCCCTTCCCTTTTCTTTATTTTTATTATTTTTTTTTTTTAGAGACAGCATCTCACTGTGTTTGCCCAGGCTGGTCATGAACCCTTCCCTTTTTCTTTACGAAGACGATAGAAATATTTGTTGACTACTTTCTAGATTGCTGTGAGAATTAGAGTACTAACAAAAGTTTAAGAATATTAAGGAGAAGTGCAATGTATGTTTAAAGTGGTTTCTTGAATGACAGATATGTAACTTATCTACTTGTTTAATTAAATGTAGTAAAGTTTAGAATTAACAGTTGCTAACTCTAAATTGAACATTCTCAACTTTGCGTACATAGGTGGATTCACTGTAAAATGTTGCTGTCTTTAAGAGTAGAAAGCACCACAGGGAATAACAGAAATAGCTCAGGTAGATGTTTACAAGCAAAAGCACACTTGTCTACAGTCTCAGTTAATCTTCACAATGACTTTGAGAATACTGTCAACTGCAAGGAACACAGAAATCTCCTCTCCATAGGCTTCAACAGTGAGGAAATATGTTATTCCAAAAATAAACAGCCCAGAAGTAGCTAACTCCAAGGTTGTTTAATTCAAGAGACTGAGGCAGGAGAATCACTTGAGCCTCCGAGGTTGTGGCTGCAATGAGCCAAGACAGGGCCGCAGCACTCTAGTCTGGGCAAGAGAATGAGACCCTGTCTCAAGAAAAAAAAGTTCATTGTTTTTTGTCTTTCCAGTTTGCTGTGTTCCCATTGCCAGCTTGGCCGTAAGACTAGCACTGCTGATAGCTCGCCACATGATGCCTAAAGGCTTCACCTTTAGCTGTTTCAATGTCTGTCAGTATCTGTTTTCAAGATCAAGGAAAATTTCCCCCAAAGAACTCCAGTAGATCTTCCCACATGTCTCATTGGCCAGAATTCAGCCACATGCCACCCACAAACCATTGATGAGATTTACTCCAGAGTTCTGTGGGGTTGAGGTAGACACCCAAACAAAATTGGAGCTCTGATAACATGAAAAAGGCTGTGGAGCCATCAGTGTCTGCTACAGGTGATCTTCTTATTCCTTTTTAAAAGTGAGGACATGAAAAAGTAGATTTTTTTTAAAATGAGGAAATGGAGGCTCCGGAAGATTGAATGATAAAGCCAAGGCTTAGTTCCAGCTTTTAAATTCTAAATCATGTGTGTCACTGCTGCAATACTCACATCTTAAGTCCATATTTAAACATATATCCACACAGCTTTAGAGTTACCTTGAGTTTCATTTGTTTAGCATGTATTTGAGTGCCTTTTTGTACCAGACACTGTGATCTGCTAATGAGATACTTGGAGTAAAATTAAATAAAAATGAAATGTATCATCTCTGTCCCCAGGTCATTTAAGAATCTAGCCAGGCAAAACATAGTTATAACTGTTATTTATAATAATATAGCTGTGTTTACAGTAGTCTACCTTATTTTCTGACATTGGTAGGGAAAGAAAAGTTTCTACCTACAGACTTTCAGATCAGTGAAAAACGAAACACTTTCTTAGAAGTGTGAACTATTCATACTGAATGATTTTTATGTAATTGTGTATTATATAATTCCCAGCCTGTTGAGATGGAAGATCTCATGTATTCTTCAACTTTAAAAAAATGACTCTAGGTTCTTGTGAACAATGATGGTTTTATCTTGAGTAATTCAGGAAGGTCTTCAGGGATGACAGAAGCACCGAAGGCTGGCCGTTTTCCCTTCCCACTGAAGATCAGAGACTACCATGATGTTTCTTTTAGTTTTTTGGTTTCTCTGTTTTTCATCTCACCTTTCTCATTTCAGGCTGATAACTGTCTCTTCCTATCAGTGTTAATGGATTTCGCTCACCCTTCAATGCAAGCCATCTGTCCTTGGTCTTTTAACTTTAGCAAGGGGTTGGAAACCAGATCATGAAGCTTGGTAGAATTACAAATGAAATAAGAATAAATAAAGACTGATTAAACCTGAAGGACTTCCCTTTGAGTAATCATGATCTTTAATGTATGATATGGAACATCCATTGTGCCTCTGAAACTCTTTTGTTTACTGTAGGGTAGGCCAGGACATAGAATTGTATAATCTAACATACCACCTCAAATAGAAATTTCCTTTAGCATCTTTGCCAAGTGTTCATCCAGCTTTCAATAGGAGAGAACTCCTTCTCTTGAAATATGACTTCTTTTCTCATTCCCAGCTCTGTTCTGTGTAGTTGATGCTGCTAGAAAATGGAACCCCAAGTTAATGTTGTTTGTTGAGTAGATTTTTAAAAAGCTGCTTTGCTTCTGTGTTTGCTGGGACCATAACAGGAAATTCAGTATAGTAACCGATAATAACAGCAATCGACCACCACCCTGAGCCGAGTGCCTTCCATGGCCTAACTCATTTACCCTTCAATACCACCAGATAATTGATAGAGCTCTTATTAATATCTCCATTTCAAAATGTAAAAACTGGCCTGGCATGTGACTCATGCCTGTAATCCCAGCACTCTGAGAGGCTGAGGTGGGCGGATCACTTGAGGTCAGGAGTTTGAGACCAGCCCAGCCAACTTGGTGGCCGTAAGCATTTCCATTTATCTGACTTGCTCCTGAGAGAGTGGTGTATTAGAAACCCCATCTCTACTAAAAATACAAAACAAAAATTATTCTGGCATGGTGACATGTGCCTGTAATCCCAGCTACCTGGGAGGGTGAGGCAGGAGAATCACTGGAACCCGGGAGACGGAGGCTGCAGGGAGCCGAGATCGCACCACTGCACTCCAGCCTGGGCAACAGGGCGAGAGTCTGTCTCATTCATAAATAAATAAATAAATACTGAGCCTTTGGAGGTAAAAGTCATACAGCTAATGATAAGTGGAGGTGAGGTGTAAATATAGGCTATGTGCTTCCAAGGACTAGCTGCCAACCACTTTGCTCTACTGCTTTTTTGTGACATTTAGAGACTTAAGACCATACAATTTGGGGATGAGAGAATGAGGTTTGAGTCCCACCTGTTATAGCTTTCATTATTGCTGTTACCCAGAATACTGATGCATCTGGTAAAAGCACTGCACCTACATGGACTCCAAAGTCTTTGTTTTTGGAATGCTTAATATTATATGTGAGGTTTGGGAATGTCATTGTTCTAATAGTCCAAAGCCATGCTTTCTAATATTGGTAGTCATTTTTATACACATGGTAGAAGCATAAAATATATAATTCTGAGTCTTGTTTAGCTTAAAATATATCTGACAGAGAGGAGTTTTTGTTCCACCCATAAGTGGAAATACTTTTTTTTTTTTTTTTTTTTGAGACGGAGTTTCACTCATGTTACCCAGGCTGGAGTGCAATGGCGCGATCTCGGCTCACCGCAACCTCCGCCTCCTGGGTTCAGGCAATTCTCCTGCCTCAGCCTCCTGAGTAGCTGGGATTACAGGCATGCACCACCATGCCCAGCTAATTTTTTTGTATTTTTAGTAGAGACGGGGTTTCACCATGTTGACCAGGATAGTCTCGATCTCTTGACCTCGTGAGCCACCTGCCTCGGCCTCCTAAAGTTCTGGGGAAATACTTTTACTTCAACTCTTTGGGCGTCTTCTCCAAGTACAATTAAGCAGATAATCATATAGCAGTTTGGGTTAGACCAAGCACATATGTTCCTCTGCTCTTAGGATTTCTCTAAAATTTTGTGGACTAAAACTTCGGCACACCAGGTTTTTAAACTTTGGAGCTCTCTTTGTGACTCATTGGTGGTCAGATCATCTCAGTAACAAGTGTAAACAGACTGGCTTGCATTCCTAACCAGACCTCCTTCAGAGAGTAAACCATTTCATAGAGTCTGTGTTCACTCTGACGTCATGTTTTCCTTTGTACTTCCACTAGTGAAACGTGTTCCTGGAGCTTCTGAATATCCTGTCAAAGACTTGAGTACCCCTCCAAATTCTTTGGGAAGTGGAGGCAATGTGGGGCCTGCAACCAGCCCTGCCAGAAGCAGTGACATGTTATATCTGATCGTTGGTTGTGTGCTGGGCGTCATGGTCCTCATTCTTATGGTTTTCATTGCCATGTGCCTATGGAAGAATCGCCAGCAGAATACCATACAGAGTAAGTCACTCATAAGTATTTCCTTCTCTTTTTCTAAAGATGAGTAGACAAATATTGTCAGAATAAATATTGATTTCTAACACTTCTGTGTGTTAGTGTCATGGTATGAAACACATTAGATACTCTTCATTCAGAGGGGATGACTTTAAAACCATTTTAGCTGTCAGCCAGAGTAAGTGGAGCATCAAATTAAATTGCCCAGCAGACATAAACACCAAAGCCAAAACTAAGCAGGTCTCTGAGTAAATAGCTGACTTACTGCTGGGAAACTCCAGCTTTGTTGGACCACCAAAGAGGATGCATATTTGAAGCCTGAGCTCTGGAATTGCTGTAGGAACACCTTCACACTGGTGCAGAGCTTGTCAACAGGGAATAGGAAAGCCATAATGAAAAGGCAGGTAGTGAAAACTTCCAAGTTACTGTCAGTGAATGACACTTAACCAATGAGGATAATATAGCCCTGTTTCTACACCTAACGGACTCAAGATTGCTCCAGAGTGGCATCCTCTCCCTGCAGTGTGTCTAGGACTATGTGTGCTTGAACGTGAATGATGGCACTGCTTTGAAATAACAGTGAAATAGAGCCCCCTTTCTCTTTTCTCTTCCTTCAAATCTCTTCACCTCACCATCTTACTTTTCCTATTATCTCAGCTATTATAAAATAGGATAATCAAATCAAGCAGAGTGTTTAGTCTTTGGTGGGAGGAAGTTTTTTTGGTTTTCCCTTTGGCTCCAGAATAAGGAAATGAAAGAAAAGTGAGGGAGGACCCCAGCAGGCAATTCCAGTGGCTGTTAGCCAGTTCTCATGCACGGTCACCTTTTAGTTACTAGTTCTGGGGGAAGAAAGTGCTCTGTTTGTATTGAATGGTGCCTTCCAAGAGATTGGGGAAGAGATGGTGGCTGCATCAGGCTGAAAAGGATGGTGATAATTTGATTTTCTAAATGGTTTTAATGCCATTGCCTTTCATTGTGTGAGTGCATGTTGAATCATTAAAAGAGAAGTATTATTCTGGTCATCCGAGCAGTATTAATCTGATTAAAGTCATCCTACATTGTGACCTGATAATATGTTTAAAAATGGAAAATTCTTAACAGTGGTGTTCATTCAGTGATTCATTCTATATACCAGGCACTGTTCTAGACAGTGGTGGTGTAATGGTAAATAAAATAAACACCATGTCTGCCCTCTCAAAGTGTGTAGTGGGACACAAACAGGTATACTGAGATTACACCTGGGCGAGAGAGTACAGTAACATGGGCAGCTAAGGAAAGGAGGGACACCTAATCCAGTCTTGGCAAGCTCTCATGCCTTCGAAAAATTTATCCAAACTCTGACAACAAGTCCTGTACAGTTTAGATACTGTAGCTTCCAAGAGGTATTTTACTTTTTCTAAATATGTCTGGGAGGTGTGCCTCTGGAAATCAGAGTTTCAAGGCAGTCATTTATATGCTTTTAATAAAAGAAAATCAAATCACCTTTTGCCTTTGGTACTCCACACCTTTCAATTTGGCTATCATGACTAAGGAGCTATATGAATGGTCAGTGACTGTATATACAACTCCATCCTTTTACTTAACAGAGTTGTCTATTGCTACTTGAAATATCCCACCTAAAGCTAGTCTTTTGTTATTGTTTTATACAGTTTTTGTTTTAGCACTTTGAGGTATAATATATAGGAGTTTAAGCATTTTTTCCCAGTACTCTGATTGTTCAGCTTGCCCAATATTTTCATTCTCTTTTGAGTAATTTTTCCCTAGTTAATTTTTCTTCCCATTAACAATCATAATTAACTCAGAGTTCACAGCTATCTCTACACTCTAAGGAAAGTAATAGCAGTAACTTTATTAAAGCATGTCTTACAAGTAGGCTTTAAGTGAACATTTTTTAAAATGTTTTTATTTTAGTCTATTTGTAGTTTCTAAGGGGTTTTTTCAATAAGTTCTTTTAAGCAAGAAGATTGTCCTTTTTTAGTGTCTTACTGTGTGTGTGTGTGTGTGTGTGTGTGTGTGTGTGTGTGTGGCTTTTTTTTCTCTTTTAACAGAATATGACCCACCAGGATATCTCTACCAAGGATCAGATATTAATGGACAGATGGTAGAATATACCACTCTCTCAGGAGCAAGTCGGATAAATGGAAATGTTCACGGATGCTTTCTAACCAATGGCGGTCTCAGCAGTGGCTATTCCCACCTTCACCATAAGGTCCCCAATGGAGTCAATGGAATTGTAAATGGCAGCTTAAATGGAGGGCTTTACTCTGGGCACACCAACACTCTAACCAGGACACACAGGGATTTTGAACATCCTCATCATCTAGTGAATGTAAGAGACCTGACTATAAATAAAAGCCCCTCTGTCCTTCAGGGTGCCAAGTACCAGAACAGGGACAGCATGCTTGGTTTTGTTCAATATAGAAACCTCACAGGTTCCCTTGAATGGAGACAACATCGATCACTGGCAGCCCTTTGATCCAGAATAGTCTTAGTAAGTTGTTTTCTACTGTCAGGTAATAGTTATATTCATCAGTTTAGTTTCATTTTAAAATTATTTAACACTGAAAGTGGAATACTAGCAATGAACAGACTGGAAGTTGTTCTTTATAGATGAAATGGAAATACCACTGGACATAGACCAGACCAAATACTTTAAATTTGATTTATTGAGAGCAGGGTCTTGAAAACACAAATGCTTAGAAGAGTCAGGCAGATCAGGAAATTGAGTGCAGCAGCTGGGAGTGAGGTGGTAGCCCTGGAGGCGATGGCCACCTGGACAGCACAGGCAATGTCTTCAAGAAGCAGCTGCAGTTTGACACTCTCAGTTGTCATGGGCTGAGGGCCTAGTGTTGCCAAATTTTCTGATTTTTCAAAACCTCTGTAAATCCAGGTGAAATTGACATATTTTTACATGCTGGCACCTAATTCAAATTTTTGAAAACTTACTTAGGCCATGCCAAACATCTCTGCAGGCCACCAGATTGTGACTTCCAACCTTTCAAGGGCTTCTTTTGTTTGTTTTGCCCAATATGTTTTGTTGCTGTGGCTGGTAAGCTTTTATCTTTCTTTTTTTTTTTTTTTTTTCCATTTTTGGCTGCTAAGCTCTTTACATTTTACTGTGTTAGTATTCTTTAGCCACAAAGAGTGATAAAACCTTAAGACAACCTTATTTCAGAGGTAACTAGTTGATATCATTAATTTTCAAAATGAGTATGACTAGCATATTTTAGACTTACGCTGGGATTCTCTGCACTAGAAAGTTTGATTTATTATATTGTTTGAATGCACATTTATATTACTTTTAATCAAATAGTTAATTTGTTTAATTGATCAAATTAAGCATTCAATTTCTGTCATTGTTCTGATTACAAATAAATTTACCATGACCCACAATGTGCTACAATTTGAAGAAGCTTAGAGGTTCCCCCCATCTTCAGTTTATTAAAGATTTGTTAAAATCTATTTGGAGAACAAAACTAATATATACTTGTATTTTAGAGCTAGAAATTTTGTAGCTTTCATATGACGTAGCTTTTGTGTGTTATGGAAGAAATATTAATTTGCTTTAATGCATCTCATTACTAAAAGAGAATAATGATTTCATTATTTTGTGTGGAAAGACATAGCATGTGTTCAAACTTTCTAAACTCTTTTTTGTCACCATTCCTAGTCCAAACTACTAACATTGTCCAAGAAAACTGAAGGAGAGAGCATTAATGTTTGCATAGCACATGCTGTTTCCATAAGAAGAAAAAAGGCTAGTGTTTGCTTTAGTGTTTGAACACGGAACTTTGGTTTTTTGAACAATGAATTTCTATTTAAATAATAGGCGCCCCATTCAGTGTACAATTTCAGAAATTATTTATGATTCTAAACTTCGTTTTCTAACTCTTCTGGGTGGGGGAAATAGAGAAATTTTAACAGTGCTAAAAATCATTGCACTAACTTTAACATGTTTAGGGACTCAGAGAAGCACGTAACCCTGCAGGTTGTTAACTCCGTTTTCTGAGCCTTTCAGGTTTGCCCTCAGATGGAATATAGTATAGGAGAGTTCTTTCTCTCGATATTTTCATAGTAATTCTTGTTGCTGCTTGGATCAGAAACACTGAAGGAAATTTTCAGCACTTTTGGTTTGCTTAGACTCAGGCTGCTGTTATGAAATGAATGGAAATGGAAAGTATTCTAGGAAAAACAATTGCATGAACTTTTCCTAACCTTGAAGGCCTGTTTTGGGTTTGGGTGCAGTGTGACAGCCTCTCCCACCCTCATCAAATTCAGTTTTGCTGTTTTTCATCTGAAAGCAGAATTCTGCCTCCGACTATCAGGCTACTTTAATTTTTGATTTCATTTTTGAAGAACCTTGCTGTCCTATCTGTCAAGTGAACATTTTACAATGAGGTATGTGTTAATCTGGGCATTTTTCTTAATTGCTGGGCAGTTTCCGCCAAAAGCAACATCCAAATATTAACACACCCCTTCCAAGTCATTGCTAGCTAAAGATCTACTCCATCTGGAAAAATATATCATGCTTTAAAACTCAGTGTAGTCAAGTGAACAGACCTAATCAAAATAATTACAGGAAAGTGAAGATGACTTTATCATGTGACATCATTCACATAGGTTTTACACCCTGTCTTTCCAGTTGGCATCCCATGAATTTCTTCCCTGACTGCCGGGAAAGGAAAAAATGAACAGAGGCTGTAACATATAATGTATTTTGAGTCCGCTAGATTTAAAGCAAAGTGACTAAACTTTTCCCTTCATTCATTTGCCTTTGTCTGGTAAAGAAATACATAGAAAAACATGGCAGTTAAGTTTTTGGAGTACAGTTTAATATAGCGTAAAAGTCTCCTTTGTGAATATGGTCAATGATACTCAGCATGACATTGCTCTAGGAGTCGGTTAGAACGTACCGTGTGCTCTCTTATGGTTGACATGACTTACATATTTGTGATTATTTGGCTACTGGTATGTGGGCACCTTCAGCATTCATTCTTCGTTTCTTTTTCTCTCACCCTCCTTCCTGTCCAGGGTGGTGGAATGTACACAGCCGTGCCTCAGATTGACCCTCTGGAGTGTGTTAACTGCCGAAATTGTCGAAACAACAATAGGTATGTTAATAATGTGTCTGCACAAGTTGTTGTGAATAAGGCATATGCATTCTTTTATTTTTCCCTTCATCAATGGAAGTTCTTGGAATTTTACCTAAGATGTCAAGTTCAGGATTCGCAGTCTTAAGTTTAAGGCTATTCCTCATTTTTTGCCTCTGCTTTACAATTTTTATCTTTTTGTGCCTTGGTTTCTTTAGCTATGTAGAAACAATCTTAAAGGCTCTGTTTGTCTCTGAAATGTTATTATAGAGGCTTCATGTTTTTTAAAATTTTAAATTAGAGTCATTCTCTGTTATAAAGACTTTATCTTTTCTTACCTTTTATTTTCTACTCTGTGTTATGGGATGTTATGAGGATGAATGGCAGTATGTCTGAGTGTTGGGGGAAGGAAACCTCTGTATATAGGAATGTTTTTTCATAGTAATATTACTGAAATTTTCCTACCAGATTATCCAGTGTTTTTTTTTTTAATTCTTAAAATCTTAAGAAAATTAAGTAGCAAAACCTTGCTTTGAATTTTGTATTTTAATTTTAAAAGTGATATGTACTCACAATATTTCAAACAAGATAGAAATGTGTAGAGCAATGTGGATTTAACACATAGGATATTCAGCAATTTCCTTCTACCTGTCTATATATTAATTCCAAAGGATTGCCAAGCTTTTTGTTGTGTTACAGTTGTTCCAGAAATCTTAGTTCTTTCTTTTACATAATGATGATATTGGATTACATGGTGTCAAAAGTCCTTCCTTTTCGGTTCTAAAACTCTACAACCAAAAAGATTGTATCATAGTTAGTAGATAAATAGCTGGAGTATGGGTTGGAGTTTAGATATTATATTATTGAAATGATATTTGACCTATATATTTAAAATGGATTAACAGGTTAAGAGTTGTTTCTGGGAGTTATTGAAAACAAAACTTGAAGGACCAGGCCAACCACTGAATTAAAAGTACATTGTTTCAGCCTGGGTTTTGAGAGTTGCAGAACAAAAGCAACAAAGCTTCTTGGAGATTTTTTGTTATCATTTACTTAATCTATTTCAGGGTGTCTGTAAAAGAGCCATCTGCCTGTTTTGTGTACTAAGGTTTACTTGTTCCTATTTAAATTCTATATGACCCTGGTCTTGAAAATGTTCATAACATTGAAACCACATTTTTGTTCTGAGCTTTTCATGAACTTTACCATAGTTTGGTAGGCAACATGCTAAAGATCTGGTAAAGATGGTTCATGTACCGGGCGAGTGATCAGATAGATTTAGTTACAAATGGTTTTGCTTAAATATATAATGTGTTTTCTTTTATGGTTCTTGGTCATCAGTAGATCTTGATTCTCCCTGGACGTTAGACTGGTATAACAACAGGCTCTCCGATCTAAGAATAAGTAGACCTGGGCTTTGCCATGGCTTAAACCTGTGATCGTGGGAAAGTTACATAATGTTTCTGAAGCTATTTCCTTAACCAAAAAAGGGAAAATTGTCTAATATAAGATTGCTCCCAACATAATCTGACTGTAGTCTCTGGCAGTTTCCTACCAATCATGTTTTTATGATGAAGTATCATCTTAATATCAAAAATACATCCCATTTCCTTAGAAGGACTTATATGATCTCTGCCATTTAATTGACCTTGGATTTGTGGCTATTTGTATATGTAGTGTGTGTGTGCACACATGTAGTATTTTTGTATTTGAAAGTTTTTAATTATAAGTAGTTTTTATTTCCTTTAATTCCATGGACAATTAGATTTCTATTAATTTTCAAGTTAATAACTTACTGCATTTCATGTATGTGGGTTTTGCTGTTACCTGGGAATTTAGGTGAGTTATCTTCAGCTTGGAACACCAGATTCTTTTTCTTCTTGGTTTAAGTTTTCTTCTTCATGAGGATCTACCTGTTTAGGGAAAGTCTTTATTGCCTGCATTGCCTCCAAGGTTAGCCAGTGTCTCACCTGGATCCCAGGAGCAATTGTATGATTTTGACACTTAATAATTGGATGGATAAGTATCAATAAGTACCTACCTTCAGCTCTGGAAAATTGGAACTATTAAATTTAAAGATTTTTAAGTCTTTTCACGTTTAAATTGAGAACAGGTATCTCCTCTTAAGATCTTACAAATGACAAAATTTGTAAAAAGCTGTGAATGCTGAGAGGTAGATGATATGTGTTTTACTCTCAAAATATACAAAATTGTAATTAATTTATGCTTTTAGAATATTGACATTGTTATTAGGAATAAGTTTCCATTCCTGAATGTCAGCTGAAATAGTGTAAACATTAAAAGAAGCATGATTTCAGTTAAGCTGTATGAGGGCTATCAAGTGGGCCTCATAGAGTTTTTGGCTATTCAGTCAAACAAAACAACACAAACATTTACTGAGCACTACCCAGGCACTGGAATAGGTTCTGAGGTGTTTCCATGTAGAAGGAATGTAAGAACAGTTGTGGAAGTAGGATAATGTTTATGTAAGAATGAATAGGTGACTCCAGTGGTTCTCAAACTTTAGTGTACATCACTTGAAACACTTAATGAAAACACAAATTTCTAGGCCCTACTCCTAGAGTTTCCGATTCTGCAGGTCTAGGGTGGGGCCTGAGAATGTGCATTTCTGATGAGTTCCCAGATAGTAGTGATGCTGGTGGTCCTGGCACCATGCTTTGAGAACCACTGGAATAATTTGACTGGCTGTGAAGTACAACTAGAGAATAGTAGGATATTAAAACTGAAACACTGGACTGAGCTGATATGGATAACCCTGAATGTCAGTGTTTAGTAGTTTATTTAATAAACAAGTCCTATTAAATGTTATTAATAATAGTCCTATTAAATATTATTTATTAAATGAGCAAGTTCATAGAATAAACAAGGCCCTTTATTGAGTGCCTGTCATGTACTGGGTACAGGCCTAGGCCCTGCCTTCAGAGAGTCCATAGTTTAACAATAGTGATTCTCAGACAGAGGTAGAGATACAGTGAGTAGAGTTTGAAGAAGCACATTGAGTTTTATAATTTTATATTTAAATAATAGAAAAAAAATCTCTATAATGTCTATGTATACGAGGGTATGCTATTTTTATATTAATCGAAAGGAGACATGGCTTACATGTTGAGAAACACTAGGGTAGCAGCAGCATAATTTTGGTGAAGTTTATTGAGAATGGGAATGATCTGTTCAGAGATGTGTTTAGATGTGAAGAAAGATGGCAGAGCACAGGAGGGAATGGAGGGAAGGGACCAGTGAGACAATGGTATAACAAAGCCCTCAGCCTTCATGAGGGAATGGGGACGACGAGGAAGGGATAAGTGAGACTGTAGTGGTGGAGTCTTCAGGACTTGGCCCTTGACTGATAGGGATCTAGAAAAACAGAAGATTCCAGATGCATAAGAAGTTTCCAACATGAATGACCGGGGTGGTAGTCATAGAAATAAGAAACTTAATAAAATGATACATCATGACAAGGTGATGAATTTGGTTTTGGAGTTGAAGTATGAGTTGTTACCTTAAGTCGAGGAGAAAGATGAAAATGCCGGTCTTGGGTTCAGGGGGTAGATTGGAACTATGATACAGATTTAGGACCATTTTAAGTTCTATCCAAGTAATAGAACCTAAAACAGATGAGACACCAAAGGAGACAATATCCTTGGCAGATTGATTATTTTTATATATTTATTTGATGTGTTTGTTTGCTTTTATTTTGTATGCATTTAAAGTGATTGGACATTCTTTTTATTTTTTATAAGATGTCATATCTTTTATTACTTTTTCTTACTCCTTTGATATATCTTCAAAGAATAACAGATATGGGAAAAGAAGAATGATAAAATAAGGAGAGTAAAAAAGAAAAAGAGCATTTCTTCATTCATTCCTTCAACAAATGTTTGTGCAGGTCTGTAGTGGGTCAAGCACCAAACTAGGTGCTGGTGATACAGCAGTGAACATAACAGGCATTGCTCCTGCGTTCGTGGAGCTTAGAGTTTGATAGGAGAGACATGTCTTTTAAGAAATGACATAAATCGCCGGGCGCGGTGGCTCAAGCCTGTAATCCCAGCACTTTGGGAGGCCGAGGCGGGTGGATCACGAGGTCAAGAGATCAAGACCATCCTGGTCAACATGGTGAAACCCCGTCTCTACTAAAAATACAAAAAATTAGCTGGGCATAGTGGTGTGTGCCTGTAATCCCAGCTACTCAGGAGGCTGAGGCAGGAGAATTGCCTGAACCCAGGAGGCGGAGGTTGCGGTGAGCCAAGATCGCGCCATTGCACTCCAGCCTGGGTAACATGCGTGAAACTCCGTCTCAAAAAAAAAAATCAAAGAAATGACATAAATCATCCAGGTGCAGTGGCTCACATCTGTAATCCCAGCACTTTTCGGAAGCCAAGGCGGGCAGATCACCTGAGGTCAGTAGTTTGAGACCAGCCTGGCCAACGTGGTGAAACTCTTTTCCTACTAAAAATACAAAAAAAAATTAGCCAGGTGTGGTGGCAGGCACCTGTAGTCCCAGCTACAGAGGACGATGAGGCAGGAGAATCACTTGAACCTGGGAGGTGGAAGTTGCAGTGAACTGAGACCACACCATTGCACGCCAGCTGGGCGAGAGAGCAAGACTCTATCTCAAAAAAAAAAAAAAAAAAAAGACAAGACATAAATCATAAAAATGAGTATGTAATTAAATCTGGATGCTTTAAAGAAAAAGTAAAGACTGTGTTAGAGAGGAAAGCAAGTGAGAGAAAGTTAGAGAAAAAAAGTAAAAGATGTGTTAGAGAGGAAAGCAAACTCTCTCTAAGCCAGTGGCATTTTCTGAGCTCTGAAGATTTAAAATTGGTCCACAGAAAGGAGATAGGTTTAGAGCTTTCCAGGCAAAGGGAACCATTTATACACAATCTCTAAAACAGAATGCCTGAATCCTCAAAGAACTTAAAGAAGGCCAACATAGCAGAAACCTAGTAACTGGAGGAGTCAGAATTAAACGGTGAGTGATATCAGATCACACAGAGCTAGGG